GGGTAGGAGCAGATGAAGAGGCCGACACAGAGAAGTAGGCCTGCTACGATCTTGCGGCCCCAGCTGTGGCGTTCCACGAATTCTTTGAAACCATTTTCGTAGGAGAGATCGCTGAGGAACATGCCGAAAATTGCCTGCATTTGGAAGGTTTCTTATTTTTTTGATTAATATGAAAGTGGAGATCTAGGTTTCAGGTCAAACTTACCGGTGTTCTTGGCAGGATCCTGGTGGAAGTAGAGGTACATGCCCAGGTAGATTGCCAGGCGGAATCGGAACTTGACAAACATTGTCGCGCAGATAAGCACGTAAATCAACATAGATGTCTGGAGCAGCGGAAGCAAAGCCCACTGGTGGTCATCGTATGCCATGTAACCAGTGGTCCAAACCTCGAGGAAGGTCGTGAACAGCCGGACCACTTCATCCCAGAAAGTCGGCGCTAAATCGACAGCTGCGTAACGGCACCACCAACAGTCGGAGCGATTAGCAGCGATGAAGGCGCCACATTGTGCCATAACCCATGAGATGATCAAGGCGATAGTAGCGGGGAAGATGAGGCGAGGTGGGCGTCGAAAGGCACTCTTGGCCACGGACGTGAAAGCTCCGAGGACGTCGCCATTTCGAGATTGTTTGAGTGGCTTGAGGGCGCAAACATAACCAGTCAGGAAGGCGAATATCGTAACACCCAAACGGCCCTGCCAAGGGATACGGAAGACGGGCCACTGCAGAATTCGGGGAGGTGTGTCAACATCGTCGCGAGGGGCGAAGAGGTCATAATCCCATGCTCGGGCAAGGTGAGTTAAAATAACTAGGAACGAGGCGATTCCTCGTAGGCCCTGTTCATGATGTTAGTAACAGGGTCATCCCTACCAGGCTGAGATGCAAACGCACATCAATCCATTTCACACTTTTTCGCGGATCACCTTTCACCGATGGGTCTGCTGACTTCCAGGGAACGTTGTCCAATATGCGTGAGTAGATATAGGTTGGTTGGATATACTCCATGGCGAGTGTTGTAAAGACTGAATAAGAAACCGAAGTCTGGTAGGAGACTCGGGGTGTCTAGTAGGTCGGTTGGAATGGAAAGGTCAAGATCATAAACATTGAATGTCAAAATGCCCAAAAGAATTTCAAAGAGATAACCAAGGGCTGGGATTTAAGGGAGAGGTAGAGACAGATAAGGTTGGGCCAAAAATGGGGATACCTCCTCCACAGATCAACGAGTGAAGAAATTCAAAAGAAAGACAGCAGAATGGCACATTAAGAGAAATGCGAAGTTCATCGCCATTCCCAAGAAGGACCTAGCGGAAATGGAGGCGAACGCGAACAATGGGGTATCGGAGGAGTGGGGCTTTTGGAAAATAACATACCAAATATATGACGCCATGTAAATTATTTTTTTTATGTACGATTCCTACATATGTATTTTATGATATACCCATTAATTATCTTTTTTATCTTTTATAGATGTGACGCGTACAAAGTACAAAATAGATCATATTTCATATAGCTTAAGAGAACATTATACCCTTATGTCTACCACTTTGTAAGGCGTTAATATAACAGATTAAAGGTCACGAATTAAGCTATGAGATTAATGCAGAAGCTGACGACGCCTTCTAACTAAACCAATGAACATCGAGTGTATCCCAAAAGCCCATGTCCTAAAATCCGCCTCAATTACGCCAGATCTTGGCATTTTGACACGGAGTCCGGACCTCGGATTTAATTGGCTAACATATCGGCAAATCGGAATCAATGTTTCGAGTTTACTTTTTTTGGAAATCCAGCGCATAAAAGAAAGGGCTTTACCAAGGGGGATGGCATTTCAATAAAACTTAACCCCCTATTCCCGCCAGATACGAAACCGAGTTTTTCATTTATGCGAGTACGGAGTATGGAGTTATTCCATTGTATGAAGTATATTGTACACGTTCTATGAAACTCGGAGTCCGTGACGATCTTGAAGATCGCCTTCCCGAATACTACGTCCCGACACCGTTTTCAGTGACTTAACAGATAAGAAACCAACATTCCGTCCCTCGGAAAGGAGTGAATTTGATCTGAGGGATTTCAAATCGTCACAAGCCAATAACATCATATTCAGCCAATGATGAAGAGAAATCTGTCGGCTCCCAGTCCAAAGTCGTGGGATAAATTATTTCAAGGCCTTCTAAACTATTGAAAGAATGGTATCTAGAATTTGAATTTACAATAATGACACTTCATGTGGTACAACCCCCTCGGCTTTCGACCACATGACAATATGCGATATGTACTCTGTACTCTGTAAGGCAACGTTGACTGAAATCGGCTATTCTAGGTAACCATCATATTTTATATAGGGGTTTCGGCATCTATTCCAGCCAAGAAAGCATATAAGGGGAACAACATGAACGTGATGCACGAAGAAAGTAAAATCCGAGCCCTATGGAGATCTCCTTCCCGCAACTGTCATCTGATCGAATGGGAATATCTCGGTGCTTGGCGACCCAGTTTTACAATACAGTCCGAATTCCCCAGTCCTGAGGGGCTTGGGGGAGATGTCAGATGTTAATTGGTTTCCCCCCCTGTATAATAATAATGTGCAGGGGGTTATAGAAGTTCCAAGGTTACGTTTTTTTCGCCTTACCCAAAGAGTTCTAGAACACCTGTGGGTCCTCCCCACTTTTATAAAATAGAATTTAAAGATTTATGGTTCTCTAGGGCTGGTACGGTACCTTACAATACTTCCCATGGTGGTGGCTACGTATACACCCCCCCGCCATGGTCACGTAATATTGGCCTCCCGGCACATCCATTAAGACCCGTCGGCAGGGAATTTACCCCTTAGGAGAAATTGGGAACTGTGGAGGAAACACACCACTTACCACCATGCGGCTTGGAACAGTTACGGCTCTTCTTTCATGGGCCTTGGTCGCTTCGGCCACTATCCTCGAGAACGGTCAAGTAAGAGAGAATGCATACCCCGGCCAGTTACAACCAGTGACTTTGGACAACTCCTGGAGAGACTATCCGGCGGATGCACCGGAAATCTCTTACAAAGGTCGATGGGATAGTCAGCACATTTCTTGTATGTTCCCCATAGCCTCTTTTCCCCCGTGGCGCCTCTTCCCCATGGCTCCTCTTCCCCGGATTCCCGTTTTAACCTTAATACTAACCTTGGAAAGGGTGGTCGTACGTATCAGTCTCTAGTGGGTATCTTAACACTTTTACTAATTAATTCAGTGCACCGGGGATCAAAGTTGAGTTCTCTGGGGAAAAGGTATGTACATCATTGCCCTTCCGGCCTATGGGGCCCACGTGCTAATATAATTCGAGCTTGCTGTCCATTTTGGCCCAAAAACCGACACAGGTGTTCTAGTAGCTTACCGGTATGCGTGTAAACCTTCCTTACTATGTGTTCATTCTAATTTTTAACAGGGTGGGCTCTCTCGACTGGCAATTCTCTAACATCACCGCCGACTCGACATATCAATTTGTTGGGCCATGGTCAGAGCTCAAAGATGGCGATGAACCCGTCGAGAAAAATGTATTTGAAATGAGAGGTATGTGTTCCATCAGAACCTCAAGTGGCAATCTGCATACTAACTGCATTGTAGTGACAAATTGGGGCATTGGATAAGTCTCTCCTGTCATATCTCTGTTCGTTACTTACCCTCCACACAGTTCAGATCGCCGGTGTAGCTGTCGCAAAAGACGCCGTCATCACTAAACCTCCGACCTTCGGAAAGAAGGTTGAGATCATCGGCGGCTCGTGAGTCCTCATACCTTGCCATCTAGTTTTCCATGCAACTAACCGTTCCTAAGGCTTGCATCTGGCCAATTCGCCACATATGAGACAGTCTCCTCGTGGTCCTTCCTCTTCGCTAACGGCCTGGGCAATGTCGAATATGGCATCACAGTCAGTCCGCGCTTAGATTTCTGAATTCCAGATATACTGACACAGCCTCACAGGCGTATCCCGGAGTGTGTCTCGCGGATGAACAATGTTACAACGGCGGCTCTCGCGGCGTAGTATGTCACCTCCTATCTCTAAGAAAATCTACTATCAACTCACAATACTACTAGGGCTGGTACTGGCACCGCGCCTCCGATCCCGGCTCTCGTGCACATGCAATGTACGACCGTAACCCAGAGAAATGGGACGTGAAAGCAGAGCAACCGGCCGATCTTGTGATAATCCAGATGGGCGGTAACGATCACCGCCACCCCAACGAAATCCCTGGCAGGGATTACTACCATGCCTACGTCGACTTGGTAGAGGATATCCACTCTAACTGGCCTCATGCAATCATCATCCTCATGGTATGTCTTTATCTTTCGTACAGCTTTGAATGGTATTGTTCCTAACTTTCACAGTCCCAATGGGGAACTTTCACCAAAGAAGGCAAGAAGTGGGTCGGTAGCACTTACTACCAGGAAGAGACCAAGGAGGTCAATGAGCATTTCAAGGACCGTGGTTTCGTCTATTACTTCGCCACTGAGGGTCTTCTGCAGCATAACGATATTAACCCCAAGAACCATCTGACGGATGTGGGACACGTCAAGATTGCAAGTCACTTGTTGCAGTGGGTTAAGTTGGTTCTCAGGTGGAACCTTGAGCCCACTGGTGAAGTCCAGTCTGGAACTACTTATTGGAACGATCAACAGGAATACTGATTGTCCGGTCTGGAGACTGAAATTGGGGCTGGATAATTATCTAGCTTTTGTACATTTATTTCTTAGATACTTTGCACAGTGTTGATAAACTAGAACATATATACCGCCTTTTACGACTTTGTACTTGGTAGCATTTTAAGTTTGGTGTCCGAGAAGTAGGAAATGTGTCCGAGTCCCCTTTGAGCAACTGGCTTAACAATATGTATTTCATTTTCTCCCGCCTTTCAACCTTCAGTTGTCCTTTCTTCTCGCCGCCACACTTCAATCTATCAAAATTCTTCCATGCCCTCAGCACGCGTATAAAAGCTCTCTTTTTAAAATACACACCAAAGTCCAACGCCATGAGCAATCAGAGGTTCGACCAAATGTTTGAAGTTAGCCAGGCATTTCAACCAGTGAAGAACTACGGACAGAGTGTGTACTGGGACGGACCCGACTTTCGCCTTCGATATAAACGCTCCTTTGATATCGAGGCGGTCATATTCGCAAATCTTATCACCGCCGAATACAAGTTTCGACAAACATATCAGCAAAAGGAGGTCCTCGAAAAAAATGTCCGGGCGTTACAAAAGATCTTAGGAAACGACGAAGACGAAAAACAACACCAACAATACCAGAAAGATCTAGAGGCCATCAAGCGAGCCCATAGCAAAAACGAGCGAAATCTTTTTACCCAGGAATCTATGCTGCCGCCAGGGCCCTTGAAACGAGACTATGATGAAATAAGAGAGGATCCAATTTGGTATTTCCGGAAAGAGCTGGTCCAAGACTGCATCGCCAGAGGAGGTTGCTGTGCCCGGGGTTGTGGCTGTTGCGAAAGCCGTGCTACCACTCAATATAAGAGAGGGGTTGGGCACTGCACGGCTGGTTGTGGCTGCTGTCAAGCGAGAGAGGGTTCGAACATACATCTAAAGAGCTGGACAAGATTGCAGATGAGCTTAACTCGATGCTTCTATCAAATAATCCGTCATATGTTATCAAGATGGCAGTGGCTTATTTCGTGAAACCGCCGGCGCGAAAGGTAGAGAAGGAAAGCGCAGAGGAGGAAAAGGTCGGGGAGGAACAGGCACAGAAGAAGAAGAAGAAGAAGAAGAAGAAGAAGAAGAAGAAGAAGAAGGTGCATTGGTGGAATTATATGTTTTAAAACAGGAGATTAAGGGGATCTTGCTTGAACATCCGCTTGCAAAGGGTACAGATTACATTTTTATGCCTTGTTTGAATGTATGTGTTACCTGTTACTGTCCAACTGAAATACCAGAAATATATCAAATTGACTTGAATCGTAGGAAAGCTACCTTTCATACCCGATACCCCCGATAGGATATTAGTATATTAATATATAGGCTCATTTCATAAAGATTGTTATAGCACGATATAGTCAAAGAAGAGGACTAATAAAAGCAAGTGTACATATTAGTGATTGATTCTGCTATATTACCGAATTATACGTCCGGTTTAAGCAGTTTCATACAAAGGTAGGCACTTGGCTATTGTAGGTTTGGCCATATGCCTTGGCCTTGAGCCCTATGAGCGGGCCCGGACATGCTCTAAAAGCCTAAGGTCCACTGTGGAGGGCCTTATCGAGTTTCTAGGCTAGTAATTAAGCTTAAAGTTTGGTCAGACTACCTTATGCATTTATACTTGCTTCCAAAGATGGAGACCCCAGAGGCATTCATATATATACTCATAAACTCTCAGATTCTATCCACGTGCTTGCCATTGATGTCCCGAAAGATATGTTGAATTACATTCGGCACACAAGGTGAACTAAGTACAGTGTTGAATCCCCTAGTCACCTTGTCATAGTAGTGGGCTCTTCCAGTCTTCCCCTCTTGCTTTCTTTCCCTCTTCATAGCTTCCATACTATCCACAATGGAACCATATTGTGCATCATTTTCATGTCTCAATCCACCTGTGGATCCAAACACATGACACTTCTCGCCACTTGGACTGGTCATTCAAACTTTAGGCCATCCGCTTGAGAAATCAAGTTTGTTCCATCCGAAGGTCTTCTGAGAATCAGCATAGCCAACCCTCGTATCAATGTAATGGTAGTAAATAATGGGACCAAGAGTTGGGTCAGTGTAGACACCCCTATATGGCGGTTAGTATTTAATCTGAAGTAGAGGGACTGACGCCACATACTGTCCACCAGGTCCATAGACATAGTCATGGCTTTCAAGGACAACGGTGCCACCCCCATTCCTGCATGAAACATTGTTTGCGTCGACCTGCATCGTTAGCCACGCGTCTTACACATTGCATAAGAAGAGAAAAGGAAAAACATACAAAGTTCCCAGTGGGGGTGGTCGATCGACAAACTTTGATCCTGTACTCTTCCCCTACCCCAGGCATATCCGTATCATAGTGACAGCATTTTCCCCATGAGTAAAAGAGGTAGTAATAGTTGCCATATTTGTATAAGGTAGGGCCTTCAACCGAGTGCTCGCCAGCCGGATCAAACGCAACATTTACCGGAGTTGAAGTCGCCTGGGTAGCATCACCATTCAGTGTGACTTGGAAAAGGTCTTCCCAGAATGATCCAAAGGTCAGGTACTTGTTGGAGCCGTCAATCAGGAGATTGGCATCAATGGCGTTGTATTGGTTTCCCGTTGTAGATGAAACCCCAATAGAGCCCCTGTCAGTCCAAGAACCCTCTGCCATAGTTGGGGAGGTCGCAAGACCAATGGCAGAGATTTGAGTTTGGAAAGTCGATACAGAGTAGTAGACGTGGTAGAGGTCACCTACCTTTGTCACATCGGGGGCCTAAGAGCTGTTAGCGGTCTAGCATAGAGGGAGCGGGAAGACAGATAATGGTGCATTACACCATGGTTTACAGGATGATATCAGGAAACTCGAGGTGGTGTTGCTGAATGGAAGAAAGCAGTACATACCCAAGGGTCATTCTTTCCGGAATTGTCAATCTTGGATCCGCTAGGCAATACAGATCCACGAGATGTCCACGGACCATTGATGGATGAAGAAGAAGCAACAGCAATGTTACCGCCCGTGGAGAACCGATAGTATGTTCCATCAGCGCTCTGAATTAAAGCAGGGTCATGGATGATGCAGGCACCTGAGCAAGCTCCGGGGTTCGCGTATCCGTAAACCGCCACAGCCTGGAACAGGGCGAATGCAAGGGATTTGAGATTCATCATGACTAAAAGTCGAGAGGGGGAGAGACGTGGGTTGAAGAATCCATTTCCCGACGAGATACATGGAACTATATATACGGGAGCCTCAGTGTTCCGCATCCATCTCCGTATGCGAAGTCGAGATGAAGAAACGCCTCCTTTACCCCACCGGAGATCAACATATCGAGCTATTCGAGGAACTCGATCGTCCGATATGTAATGCCCGACACCTGGTTATTAGTGCCAAGACGTACTTTTCTTCAAGACATGTATCACAGACATGTCTTAAAGACGTTTCAAGTACTCTCCACTGGAAACTTCCCAAATGAGAGAGATATCATAATCTAAATGACCGAGAGTTGAGGCATATTAATCCCGTACACTGACTGGGCACACCGGTCCCCCACTCGCCCAGGAGATTTTCCTATTACGGCAAGCGGATAGTTTAGTCGCGGGGAAGGTTGATGATCATCGCCACTTTGAGCAATCAAGTGGAACCATCAGACAATTCCCGGGATCTAGATTCCCTGTTTCATTCACGTCAGGATAGCCCTGTGGTTTTCCTCGCTTATTAGGCTTGATAGATACCTGGATACCTCAGGCATCATGTGGGGACAGAGCCTAAATCCTGACTACCGGTTGACATAGGGGGATCCGACACACCCCGGCAACGATCCATTGGACCTTCTTGAAATGCCTTCTAGAGCTGGAGTTCCTCTATAACTGCAGACAATGCTGAATATCTCAAAGACAATTGCACGATGAAGGCAGAGTACAAGTTGTTCAATAGAGAACAACTACAAAAGTTCGAGAATAATCCTGGAGCCTTCCCGGAGGCCCAAGCCACACCCCTGCATTTCTTCACAAAAATAATGTCACAGGTCTTGTGAAAGTTGGGATTCACGGCCTGAAACCACCGTTAAGAGAAAATGAATGTCTGATGTTTTCACCTTACTAGCTGCAACTCCACCGGAGCGAAAACATTCTGCGGCGTGCTCCGTAGTCCCACCCGACTCCGTGAAACTAAAGGCAATTTTAGTCCCATGGTGCTAGGCCTATTTAAGCAATCCAATGACCTAAATAGATACTAAAACAGATATTGGCATCTCAATACAATATTCTTGTTAAGAGTGGTAGTCCTATGAAGGGTATGAAGGGGTATGGGATAAGATAGACTATGAGAGTGCAAATGTCTCCTGACAAGTATGCATTTATATCAGAATGTATAATTTTCGTCACCCATATCTCCCTCTCCATCCAGGGAAGGGAAGAAATAATGGATGAACTCTTCGCTAATTGGGTCAAAGGGGAAATGTGCCTCACCCCAAGTGTGCTCTTGGGTATTTGGTGTAGTTAAAAACCCAGACGTCAAAGAATCCGTGAGGTCCGAATCATTATTGTAGCTGTCCACGGCATGGCCTTGGGAAAGAGTTGACGATAGACCTTGATTGTGGTAAGGTAAGACGTATGTACCATCGACTCGTTTATCCATCTGTGGACGCGGTGCAAAGGGGTCATCAGTATGCGTATTTAAAGGTGCTGGCATATCACTGAAATCATATCCCATGCTAGACATCAGCCGGCGAACTGCGCTTTCACAAAGTTGCCATGCACGATACGACGCCGTGCAATGCTTGGACATCATGTAGAGCCAGTGGACAGACTTCTTCGCTGACTGTACCAAACTGCTTTGTCGGTCTTTCATATGCACACAGCCGAATGAGAGTTCCAGGATGATTACTGCTGCTGTCTGCATGATATAGTGAAGGAAACACCACCATGGACAAACCTGATATAAATGCGCAGGACTCGGCTCATCGGGCAACAAATCGAGCGTGTGCATGGCCGATTCCAGGGCCATTACCGCCATGTCATGACTAAATCCCCGCTGATCGAGACGTCTCCGTTGTTCTTCGCTCCGATTTGGGTTGTGTCGGCAGAGACATGGCCGACCTAGCATGATCCGTGTGCTGTGATAGTGGAATGCTAGGTTTGTCTTCGCCCAATAGGTTTCTTGGTTTTCGTCTTTTATGGAAGTGAAGCTCAGCCCGGGCGGAAGAGTCAATATCCATTCATCGACAGTTTCCTTCAGTCGTTTGATAGTGCTCTTGATATCTTCCCACGAGATTGTCGCAGAGTATGCTGAATAGACGCGGTTTAGGATTTCGCGATTTAGAGCTATGAGATCACAGAAATATAGGAAATAAAGACTGTGATTGACTGGAAGGCTTTGAAGCCACGAGCGCCCAGCTAGTGCAGTTTCCGTCTGCTGGCGTTCGGGGTGCCGAAGGTGGGGGCTAGTCATGGCCATGTTCACGCGTTTCTCTCTCAAATGAAGGTCATCAAGAAGCTCGGAAGCTGGTGGCTCTGACAAATGATCTTCATCGAAAGGAAGGGGTAGTTGAGCGGTATAGATATTAGTCGAAATAGAAGTTGCCCGACCAGTCATCGAGCCCAGTGTGTGTTCGACCATGTATAGACACCACCAAACTCGGCAGGGTATCTCCTTTGTTATACCTGACATTTTCTGCGAAGTGCTCTTCAGGTTTATGCCAAGAGAGATGGCTGATCGAATTGCCAAAGCCGATATTCTCCACGCCCTGCATTTATTAGATTCATTCTATAACAAAAAGGGCTCAATGAACTTGCCTATTGATCTGGTTTGTACATAGCATGTGAAACGCAACCAACCCCTCTACTTGCACTTGTTCGAGATTCGGATGTTCGAACATGCTATCGCCACCCAAGCTTAGCATTCTAGCTCGCGTTAAGTAGAAGAGATGGTCTTTGATATTCCCCCGCTGTGATTCATTACTGTTATGTAGGTATTCTGTTGCAATGGCGAATATCATGTTCAATATCGCCATCCATTTATTGCCCGCATAAGATGTATCATTGAAGAAATCTCTGTATTGGGTGGAAAACAGAGTCTTGTTGATGATGGGGAAATGTGGATGAACTGCGCGCATATACGTTTCGAAGAGATGATCTGCTAATGGTTGAGGAGGAACCCAATACATTTGTACCGGTCCGGGTGCATCAATGCCCAGGTCATCGATATGATAGTTAACCGCGGATGGGGCGATTTTGTCAGTAGTGTAGTCTTCGGGCTTCGATTTTGGTGATTGATCACGACCGCGCAGTTCTGTCTCTTCCTCCACACGGCCCATCCATGTAACTTCTGAGCTTTTGCCCAGATATCCAGTAGCCCGGGAGCTTTCTGTTGAATTGAGGTCTTCATCAACTCGATCTACCGCTTCCAGTGACCCGATGGAAGAAGGTGAACTGGATCGCCTAGATCTAGTCTGGTCATGAGACTCATTAGGCATTCCATTCGACACCATTCCATTCGACACATAGTCTGAATTGGAGTTGTACTAGTAAATATATTAGTCGAGGGGGGCAACTCCAGGTATCTTTGATATGATGCACTCCTCACCTTCTGGAGTATATCTTTAACGCGTTCAGCCGGCTCACCCTGGATCTGGTTTACTACCTCTTTCAACGCAGTCTCATAATCCTGCAGCTTTTCTTGAAGACTTCGGATATGCCTGGCCGTGGCTTTAGCTTATGGAAAATTGGAATGAATATGGGCACTGGTCATTGCCGGACAAATACTTCATATCCGGCAATGCAGACGATAAGTCCTGGTTGTTCTTACTTTGTTGTTCTTTCACGCGACTTTAGCGGATAGACGCAAGGAATCTTCGCATCTTCGCATTGCCTACAACTTGGAGTCTTGCCGTTACATTTTTGTTTTCGCTGATGGCATGCTTCACATGCCCGCGAGACTCGTTTGTTGGATGGTGGTGCGGCGATGGAGCGTTGCCGAGGAATTGCGACTTTCATGGTAAAGTAGTTCGCTTTGCATATATGTATTTTGATCGTCTCCGAGCTCTAGCAATTCACAAAGAATATGATGTCACGTTCGCTCGGGGCTTTCACCAATGACATCACGAGGGAAATTTTGCCCCCAATTATATTTTAATGAAATATATATAGCAAATAAAAAGGGCAATTGAATTTAAGGGAAAATGGGTGATTTTCAGTAATAATGAAGCACATACCTCAAGGTGATGGGCCTAGCAAAATCTAGAATTAGGTAGTCTTTGTATGTTCCACCCATACAAAAGATACTTAGTCACGTCATAGCATACTATAAATTTCTTTTACATGCTTAGGGATACTATTACGCTCTAAAGAACCTTTCCATACGTCAACTAAAATGTTTTAATGAAAGGTCAAAAAGCGGGGGAAGACAGGAAGCAAACAGTATATGATTTCTATTCACTGTGATTATTGATCCTTCCCAAAATTCGAAGCAATTGAGACGTAAGCTGCCTCACCTCCACCTGTTTATTCCTTTCCGAAGGATTCGCCCCCATATCCTCCTCGATATCATGCAGCATCTCGCCCAACCGCGTAGCAGCATGACGCAAAGTTTCACGCGCCACCATTGTCTTTTCCTGTCTATCTAGCTGCATAACCCCAAAAGATATCGGTACCTCAGTTACAACTACTGCGGGTTTTGTTTCTGAGGTATCTCCGTTGCAACTCGATGAGTGATCTAAACCCCCCGTTAATACACTGAGAAGTGGATCTCGGGCCGAACACATACCAATACCCCCACCATTAGTCTCCTTGCCCCATCCTCCAAGTATGGACTCAACCGCTGCCTCGTATAGCGTGAGCGCTTTTATCGTCGCGTCTATCATTGTTTGCACCATGGGCGCATCCAGGTGTGTATTTGAAGGGCAGCCATGTAATAACTCCCAGTGGTCAACCAAATCTGTTCCGACGGAGAGGACTTCATCTAGCGGGATGCGGTAGGTGTCGGAGGTCGAGAGGTCTGGGAAGCGATTGAGGACTTGGGTTGTCTGACCGAGACAGTTGCAAGGCTGTGGCGGTTGCATATTTGGAGTATTTTGAGTCAGTTGAAAGTTATCCAGTTGTCTGGAAAGTCCATTAACTTTGTAAGTCATGGAGAAAAAGTCCACGCGTAAAAGATATGAGGATGTGAGGATTTGTATCTTGAGGGGAGGTTGCGGGGTTTGGGAGATTTGGGGCTTTGTATTCTCTCCATATTGCCACTACCTTTTAGATCAAGTTCGTCAGACTATGTTTAGACATGTAATTGGAATCGAGATCTTAATTTGGCCTACACAACATGCAGAAAGCAATATCCTGGGGGTGTTTCCCCTTTCGGGGGGAGATCACGACATTAGAATGTTCGGTCATTTTTTAATTCTTCCATCGGATACTAAATGTTTCCAATCCAACCTGTTAATCCTAGAAGGTTTCTTCCAAAACTATTGGCTGGGTATGGACATGTACTTTTTCTGTCCAATGATAGTCAGAGTACCGTTTAGTGTCCACGAATATATTCGACTGTTACATCTAGGACCATGTGTTTCAATTTCAAGAAAATATTAGAGTCTCTTAATATATCACCTTGGGTAAAATCAAAATGAAAATATATATATCGATAGCGCTTACTTGTGCAGTAAACAAAAGCGTTTTAGGTGATTGTCACTTCATTTTATTAGGGATCAACGAACCATACAGTCGATACCAGACTAGCTATATCGAGATAGTACTCTAAAATGTCATGCCGCTAATGCCACTCTTCCTTGTAAGGACTCCACACGGTGGTGAAGGTCTTCGGCGATCTGCGAAGCAGATCTTTGCATAACGCCGGCTTGGGGCCCGACAACCCTTTTCATATCGACCAACGTAACCAAAAGTTTCCGAATTCGACGCCGTAGGATCTGTCTCATTGTTCGTGATTTAGCTTCGTTGCGTACTCCAAATTTTCCCAAAAATAGATCGCAGTTTGCTTCGGGAACGGGACAAGTGATGTTTCGATCGAAGGCACCGCGGATGGAGCGCTCGAAGCGAGCGGCGGACTGTTGAACCGCCAAGTCCCTCGGCCCGCCGGGGGAAGTAGGGTTGGGGCTTATTGGCCATGCGGGTTGAAAAATGCGCTCCCTCTCCCGGGCAGACCTCGCTGCTCGGAGAAAGATATCCTCCAAAAGAGATACAACACATTCTGCAAGCAAGCCCAAAGCCATCAGGCTGGCTGGCCGCGAAGAAAGACATCCCCCGTCTTCGGATATACTGCTGCTACATTTAAATAATTGCTCTTTGAGTAAGCGAGTGTCCCGTTCGGCTGCCAGAAGCACGTCGATTGTTAAAGGTCTCTCCCTTGTACCCCGAGAATGTTCAAGCCAGGCAAGATAACGGAGAATATTCAAGTGACATCTACCCTGACATGGACCATCGGATTCTGACGCTGGTCGAGTAGTGCTTGTAGCTAGACTGTCATTCGGGTTGCTTAGGGTAGCGAGCGAGCCGATTCTGTTGCAACCAACGCTGACAGAGGTATCTCTGCTTTGATCTTCGCATTGTCTCCCATTTTGGGAAGATTGCGCTGGGGAATTTTCAGGGGATGAAGAGTTCGCTGGAACTGAAGATCCCGTAAATAGGTCTGATGAGGATATGGCTGGGTGAGAGACTGAGGATGAAACGAAACTGGCAAAATCCGGGTCACAATATCCAACCATATCCTTAGACGCTTCATCTGCTATTGGATGGTATCTCATGGACAGAAAGTTACCGGCACAATTGGCGCTGTCGGTCGAGTTCTTGATTGGAGGTTCTGGTAATTCCACCAGGCAATTCGGGAGGCCTAGGTGTCGTCCTGTCGCTGTTTCAGATTGTCTTGACAAATGTGAACCCCCTTCAAACGCGTGAGACATGGTTGTCTCAGCGGCCGGGGCAACATTCTGCGATTTCTTTCTTTTCAACCTATTCGGCTTCCTTTTAGACCGAGCAGCGGTGGGTAATTGGTGTGATGAAAATGAAAGTTGACAGTCCATCGATGATTGTATGTCCTCCATGAATGTATTGTGGAAGACATTGCTCGAACTGTCTCTTTGAGATATAACAGGGAAGCCCACAGAACTCGCCAGTTGGTCATCCACGCTACATTCGAATGGAGTATCATTCATAGAACCAGCCGAAGAAAATGAAATAGGGGTATTCGAATCGGGCCACCGGCTTATTAAATCCTCTTCTTCCGCAGCGAGAGATGCCGGCTCTTCTACCTGGGAAGTTTTGGCATCCGAATATCCACTCTGAAATTGAGCACCCCGGGACAAAGTGGCTTGCTTTCTGGGTCTTCCCATGCGACGTTGTGGGCTGTACACACAACAAAGTCCGTGTTTCCCGCACCGGTCACATTTGGGCTTGCTTTGACTGCATTTAATTTTCAAGGATTGACAGGCGTCGCATGATGTGCGAAGTCGCGCATGAGAAGACATGATTGGACCATAACACCAGCATCCGGTTTTGGTTTTTTTCTAACAGTGTCCAGTTTAGAGACCAGCTGGGTAATGGTCATTGACGGATGCCCATATCTCCAGCCCCAACACCCCTGGAGGCAGAGGTGCGATCGAAAATCGCTGACAAATTGGCTCTGGGGGCCGGGGCTGCTTACGTGCAGGATGAGAACATCTTAGAAACCTTGGCCTCCCAGCTAACTATTGTATTGGTGTTAAATCACTGCGAGATTTTCATTCTTATGTTGCTGGTATCAGAAGATAGACTGCGACTCTCACAGATACCTTAGAAAATACCCAGTGACATGTATGACAGCTATAAACTCCTCCGCTAAGAGCCCAATATAGCTCGGTGCGTTTGGTCGAAGTGATGATATTTCGCCAATTTGCTGTCATAATCCCCCATTCTAGTGCATAGTTTGCCGCCATCGCAAATAAAAATCTCAACGGATCATGTCCTCCGCTAGGGATGTACGTATCCATCGGCGACAGCAGTCACGCAGAACCCTGGAGAGTTCACAGGGACAATATCTCATGGTTGCCTCGTTCAGGAAATAACATCTGGAAACAAATAAAGGGCTGATCTGGCATACTTCATGGTTTGTCATGGTAGCTAAGCTGGGTGTATGGTGTGAGTTCGTCCAATCGGGTACTTTTCTCTCCCTATACATGTACCTACTATACCATCGGGTACTTTTCTTCCACTACTTAAAGCTCATTACTTATGTTAACAGTAATCCCTTGCTATTTGCAATTATGTTTTCTTGTGCTCCTGGCTAGTATTGATTCTACATCGCTACATTCACTCAAACACCATGTCGGAGACAAACTCGAATCTTATTGCAGACACCAAAGAGCAAAGCATCGATACGCCCTCCGATTCCCAAGATGAATTGGTACCAATCAAATACCCATCTGGGCCAATTTTGGTCTTAATTGTCATCGCATTGATGTTGAGCATGTTCCTGGTAAGTCCATATTATCCTCGTAGATATTTATACCGAGCTAACCTTTCGACTATAGGTGGCGCTAGATATGGTAAGTACCCGAATCATGATCTTCGAAACACCCTGCTAATTCCAAATCAAGAGTATCATATCCACTGCAATCCCCAAAATTACGGTTCAATTCAAGAGCATGGACGATATCGGCTGGTACGGCAGTGCTTTCTTCTTGACTCTCGCCGCTTTCCAGTCACCCTGGGGTCATGTATACAGGGGCTTCTCCCTGCGTGGCTCTTTTCTGACAGCCATTGGCATGTTCGAAATTGGAAGTTTGGTGTGCGCTTTGGCGCCAAACAGTATTGCGTTGATTGTTGGGCGGGCCATCCAGGGCATGGGAGGAGCCGGTCTCACCGGCGGATGCTACACCATTGCAGCCTTCATTGCGCCCCCAAAGACAGTTCCCATACTCATCGGTTTATTGGGATCCACATTCAGCGTAGCGAGTATTGCTGGACCTCTACTAGGAGGTGTCTTTTCGCAGCATATTACCTGGCGTTGGTGCTTCTATATTAACCTCCCCATCGGTGGCGTAGCTGCCGGAGTCTTGCTTCTCTTCTTCCGCACCCCCGAACAAGCCAAATCTGGAATGGGAAGAACATTGAAAGAAAAGCTAGAACATTTCGACTTTATCGGTCTGGTAGTCTTGCTGGCAGGTTTGATCTGCTTTTTCCTGGCGCTGCAGTGGGGAGGAGTCACGAAACCGTGGAGCGACGGCTCTGTCATCGCTTGTCTTGTTCTCTGGGTTGTCTTGACCGGTGCTTTCCTTGGTATTGAGTGGTGGCAGAAAGACCGTGCGCTGATGGTCCCACGACTATTAGCAAATAGGAATATCGGCGCCTGTTGTGCCTATATCTTTTTGTGAGTCCTGCTCTCTTTGAAGTCAGTCAAGCCTCGAGATCAGCATCTGACAGAGTCAGCCTCAATGCCGCCAATTTCTCCTTGATCTATAACCTTCCAATCTACTTTCAAGCTATCAATGGAGACTCTCCAATGACAAGCGGGATCAAAAACATCCCAACCATCCTCTCAACATGTCAGTTCTCTCGTTATATTTACATTCAGCGGGCGTGTACTAATGAAAAAAGCCATCGCAACTTTCATAGCATCCTCCATTGTCACCAAGGTCGGATACTACCAGCCATTCTTGCTAGCCGGCAGTGTATTAGCCACTATCGGCGCTGGTTTGATCTACACCTTTAGTCTGACATCCGGTCTGGGCCCTATCATCGGATATCAAATTCTTTACGGCACAGGGACTGGACTCGCGGTTCAGATCCCGGTTGTTGTAGCAGGAGCATTGAGCTCAGCAGAGGACCAATCCATAACCATTGCGACTGTTCTATGTACGTTCAACGATATTCCAGATACTATCTGCCAACCCACTGATCATTCACAGTCTTCCAATTCATCTCGGCCGCTTACGGTGTTGGCTCCACGGACTCGATCATGAATAACCTACTTCTGAAAAGTATCCCCAAATACATGAAGGGTGTCAATCCTGAGGATGTCATTGTTGCCGGGTCAAGTGGGCTTGAAGATGTTTTCTCGGGCTCAGCGCTTCTTGGTGCGCGACGCTCGTACCTTGAGGGTCTACATGGCAGTTGGGCCATGGGAATTGCACTCTTTGGTGTGACATTTTTGTGTGCCCTCATTCCAAAGCGTGGAGGCAAGGTCCCGGGACCGGGTGAGGGTGGGAAGGACGACCAGGCTAAATTTGTTCCTATGGTGTAGTCGATTTGAGCGGGCTGGGATTTTCTTACTGTCCTCGGGCGAGACGCTCATGGCCTCATTCTCGGTCTAGCGACACCCCCGTCCTTTGCCTCAATTATAGAGCAAAGCTTCTTCAAGCTTCGTGTGTTATTTAGAGATAGATATACATTACTTTGAATAGAAGGTTACAGGAAAAAGCGAGGATCGGTATGCATAGCACATCTTGGTTTTGCAGTGAAGCAGTTCTAATGTTGTTGAGGATTATCTAGGAGACTATTACATAGTTTCAGCGCCAATGACAACATGGCGGATGGACACGTGACAGTCACATGTCAAATATGTCAGGAATAGGGATCGGCATGGTGTTGAATCGTATAGAAACCAACGACGTGGAATTGGATATTCGGTAACTCAAGGTAATGGAACACTCTGTTACTCTACTTAATTCGGCCCGGGGCGAGGGCGAAACAAACAGGGTCGGTTATCATCCCAACCACGTCGACGCTGAGGCTGAGGCCGAGACGGCGGCCAAGAAGCAGCACAGGAAGGTTCAAAACCGGAAGAACCAAAGAGCACACCGTGAGTCTTTCCCTCAATGCATCACCGCCTGCCAAGCTAATGCGTATTGAAGGACTGCGGATTAGGGAACAAGACCCGGGGACTGCTCAGACGTCGCGCCCGTTCAAAGTCAGGCGCTGGCGCCTAGACGAACTTGATGTTTGTCCCTCCCAGGATGCCTCGACACCATTGAAAAGCGCAACCGCCGCGTACATCTCCCCTCGACAGTCCCACACTCACGTTAGTACATCGATGTCCACACCTGAACGGGCCAAAGTCCTTCGAGGGCCACCACACACCCCGGCCCATGCCCAGACGTCCCTAACCGCCCCGTCCATCATCTTCCCTCTATCAACCGATCATCTCCTCCACCTTATCCAGTATACTGTCTTCCGTGCGTTTGTCTCCAACAAGCGCACTCTCAATACCCTTCTCACGGGCTGGACCGATAATCCTCCCTCCCCAACCACCTGTCCCATCAGCGGTCCATACCGTGACGACACGAACGTCTACCCCCTGAACCCCAATATCCCTTTCTCCCTCGCCCCGACCCGCCTCCAACAAACCCGCTTGCACTCCATTTATATCAATCTCTTCCCCTTCCCCCGCGTCCGTGACAATCTTATAAGACGCGAAGGAAACTTCGACCACTGGGAGCTGCTACAAGACCTGATTGGTGAGCTCATGAGTGTCACGCCAGCTCAAAAGCGACAAGGTGTGCCCCTCACCATTACTGTCTCCGATCCCAAACCCATGCGGACCCCGCCCTCCACAGCAGGACGTGACGAGGATGAGGTCACTGCGGGGCGCAAGGGACTTATTGTTTGGGGCGAACCATACGACATGCAGAACTGGGAAGCCACCCCTGGCTTTCTTGCGAAGTGGTCGTGGGCTGTGGAAGGATGCGACGAATTAGTTGAATATAGTAACCGCTGGAGGCGGATGAGAGGAGAGGAACCTATTCGTCTCCCTGAATCGAAAGGGTAGCTGAATATGTCTTAAAGCAAGTGAAGGATGGCCGGCTAATGGGCAATAGGAACCATCCTTAGAGTGCCGATGGTCATAGATTACACCTTGATTTCAGATCACAGGCGAACGGTCATGACCCAATGCACACAAAACCTCATAGCTGAGAACGTTGCACCCAGCATCGTCGCTACTGGGACTTCCGCCTCACATAGTGCTAACAAAAAAAGGATGGCTCCCAGGTAGAGTCATGATGTGGGCAGTGTGATTGGTGGGGCATAAAACTTATATGCCACTGTGCTCCGTACCTATAAAATACGCATCAACATGTGCTATGTGTCCGGGGGAAGCGCTCTTCTTTATCCCGGACTCGCACTTAACACAGCAGACTTTCGAGAGAACCTCGATATCGGTGCAATCGTTGAGCGGCAATTTGAGCAAGAGCTTGAGCAGGACCTCAGGGCAAATACAGTTTCCCTAATATCCAGGGGTCTCCTGAGCCTACCAGTTACCGGACATGAAGTGAACGCACTATAAATAAAAAGAGCATCATGAATTAAATGGTTTCTTGATTCGTATGGTGATATCCAAAGCAAATCACGAGTTCAACTGCATGCTCCAGGCCCCTCTTCATTCTCTACTCCTCATCCGGCAAGCCTACAAGCTTGAGTGAATCGCTCCAAAGCCTCTTCGCCTTCTCTACGTCATAGGCATACGGCGCATACCCGAGCGCAGAAAGCTTGTCATCTCCTTCCACATACGGCTCTGCCACGGCACAGTTGACGAGGTACTTGCCGCCCTCATGTTTCCATGTCTTACTGACAGCCGCCCATACCGTTGTTGCGGCACCCTGCTCGGCGCTCTTTATGGTGGGGTACAAGAACTCCATTCCCTTGAAGGCATCCGGGGGCATATGCTTGGTCAGCCCCGTGTGGATAATGCCGGGATGGACGCTTGTGGAGTGTAGATGGCGCGAGCCATGGCGACGCTCGATCTCGTTAGCCATGTAAATGTTGGCCGTCTTGGATTGCGCATAGGCCACACTGGGGTCATAGCCGCCTCCCTGGAAGTTGTAATTGTCGGGGTTATTGATCCCGTGGATGTTGTGAGCTGAGGAAGCGAGATTGACGACGCGGGACGGGACGTCGGGGGAGGCGGCCGCGAGGAGAGCGGGTTCCAAGAGCTTGTAGAAGAGGAAATGCGAGAGGTGGTTCGTGCCGAATTGGAGTTCGTGGCCATCAGCGGTTAGTCGGATGTCGGGGAATCCCATGGTCCCGGCATTGTTTACAAGGAGGTGAATCTTGGAGGTCTTGTCGAGAATGGCAGCGGCCGCGGCGCGGACGGAAGAGAGGTTTGCCTGGTCCATCTCGACAATCTCCATGCGGGGATGTTCGAAGATACCAGCCAAGGCGGATTGGGCCTTAGCCACGTCTCGGGCTGTGAGAAAGAGGGTGGCACCAGTGGTGGCCAGGGCGCGAGTGGTTTCGATGCCGATGCCGGCAGACGTGCCGGTGATGACAATGACCTCGCCCTTGAGCTTGCCTTCAGCGCTCTCATCCTTGATGATTTGCAAGGCCGTCGGGCGTGCATCGCCAGGGCCGTTTGGCTTAGCGTGGGCTTCAGCATAACGCGACATGGTTGCGCTGGCGAAGGATTCAGAGAGATGGTGACGAGGAACAAGACTTGTTTAGGTATCACGAGGAGGAGAGGTGGATTCTGAAGTCAAGTGGATGCAGGAGGGGGAAGTGGCTCACTTATGTCGTCAACTCATCTACGTATACACGGTGCCGTGGGCTCATTAGGGAGCATTACTTGGGAAGACTATGGCTTACAACTCACCGTCCACTTTAGAGACCTACCGCATATTCACATGACATGCTTTAAGATTCAACTAATATGTCAATCTGTGACCTCTTTCCCCCTTCAGGTTAGACTACAAATAGTAATTTCCAGGGCTATAGTTCCTAATGTTCAATCCCTGAGGGTCCGGAATTAAGCTTATCGGACTAATGCCATCGAGTGGAGCTAAGATAAAGCGGGAGCTCCAGACCAGTTCAACCTTGAGAGGCACTAGGCCGAAAAGGGGAAGATATCGCGCTTCAGATCAGTAACGGAAAAGTTGACGATTTCATGTTGACCTTGTCTGTGAAGCCTCACTGTCTCCAGCTCCTTCCTACCTGACTTTCTAAATAATCCCAACTCGCGTCATCATGGCCTCAAGTCCTTCCTCGACGAACCTAAGAGAACGCATTGAGGCTACAACCCGAACCTTCCTATCAGCGTACGAATAGGGGCCAAGAACGACGGTTGAGTTGTACGACAAGGATGTGATGTTAACGATTACAAACACGGCTACCTACTAGTTTGTAGAAAGATTTCGACGGAAATCTAGATTGGGATGGGTCTGTTCATAAACCTAAGATATGTATACGGTTTCAGGTTATTCTTGAATGCACTATCCCTTATCCCGAGTTATTTAGTGAGCATAAAATTGAGCACCTTCATAAAAACCTATTTTATTTCATATTTATTCATATGAATCAACCCAATAAGGCAAGTGCCGAGGTATCCAACTTTTTTATTCGCCAAGACCTTTCTAATCCCAACGATCCACATAGAAAATAAAAATATTGGCTCAACCGTTGTTTATTGACCAATTATTGTATTTGCCGCATAATAATTTCCATATCGGGCATAATCGAGTTTTTCTTTTTTTCTTAATTTTTTTTTAATATCACTGACATATAACAGCCCTGAAGCCCTGCCTTTTGAGTTAAAGACTAGATCAACGTTTTCCCCAACTCCACTGTCATGGCTCCACAACCTATTCCATTCCCGGGCTTCACCCCGATATCTGATCGTGTCTACCTTCGCAATGGTCACGAAAAGGCCAAACAAACCCCAGCTGACGAGCCAACAACAATCCTCATCTCCGGCTGGGGCGACGGCATGCCGAAACACGTTACCAAATATTCTGACGGCTACCATGAGCTTTACCCATCCGCACGGATCATCGTTGTTCTATCACGTACCCTCCACGCCTCCAATCAACCCGAGGAAGCCAGAATTGAAGCCATGATGCCGGTCGTTGACACCATCTTCCCAACGCCAACCGGCGACGGAGCCGAGAAGGAGCGTCTACTCGTACATGCCATGTCAAATACAGGCGCCATCTTCGCTGCCGCCACTGTCGTCGCATATCAACGACGCCATGGCACAGATAAACCATTCCCCCACCCGCTCATGGTGTTGGATTCCACGCCTGGAAGTCTGGACTTCCCATCTCAGGTTCCCAGATGGTCTCGTGCCATGGCGGTCGGAACGGCCAAATTCTTCCCCTGGCCCTTCATTATCACCCAGGGTATCTGGTATATTTTCCTCTGGGTGAACTACCTGTTGCAACGCATGCGCGGCCAGGAGGCGTCAGGCGTGTGGGCGGACCGCATCATAAATGATCAGTCCTATGTCACGACCGATTCTAGCAGAGTTTACCTTTACTCCAAGGAAGATGAGATTATTGGTTACAAGGATTTGGAGGCGAGTGCTGCTCATGCCAAGGTGTTGGGATACTCGATTGATTTGGAGATGTTTGAGGGCTCCTCGCATGTCGGCCATATGAGACTTCATCCTGAACAATATTGGAATAAGGTTGCTGGCTCCTGGAAACAGGCCATGGAGAAGAAATAAGTGTTATGAGGACTGGATACATTGTATTGTGTGCATTTATATAGATAGCTTAGACCATGTTTAATAATTAACTAGAGCCATTTCATTCTTGACAGTTTCATTGATACTCGCTTGCAGAACAAGGATAAACTCCACGTTAGCCAAGCCCTCTAGTCTGGGGTTCTGTGGAGTGCGGATCAAACCCTAGGCGCAAAGGACGGACCTGCGATCAAATATATCAATGCACAACTTGATCTTGGGTTATACTTGCTTATATGCAAAACGAACGAACAAAATATTCATAGGTAACAATTCAACAAATTAGTAAATAACTCTGTATCATATCAATCTGGTTCTTAGCATGCGAAAAGAATATACAAACAACCCATCAACTCCACTCTGTAGATACAGCCTAGTCACGGTCATCAGGGTGGAAAACCAACGCCCGAACTTCAATACTTTCTCTTCCAGCCTCATTCTCCGTTTCCGGGTTAACAAAAGCAGTATGTGGCACACGACGAGCTCTCCCATCAACCTTGGAATCAAAGCATTTAATAAGCGTCACCAAATCCGGAGTCTGCCCATAGCGATAATACCACTTGATATTAGGATCCGGCTTGACGGCGTACGTCTCACCCTCCCGGTCCGGGTATATAAGCCCGATGGGCACAAGGTCACTATCCGGGACTGATTTTGCATCCGCCACGGCCAATGGATCCTTCAGGATAGTCTTTATCGGACGCCAGACGTTGATGATCTGGTATCGGCCCTTTAGAAGCTCGGGTGCCTCGTCCGGGAGATGAAAGGAGACTCTGTTCTTGGACGCGCTGTAGGATTGATCGATGTGTACGCGCTGTACAGGTCCGCGGAGCTGGGAACCGAAGGATTTGTCAGTTTGGGCCCGGCGGATGGTGTGGTCGAAGATGAAGATGCGGGAGGCACCCGTGCTGTGCAGGTTATTGTTAGTTTTGTGTGAGAAATTCTAAGGGTTTGGAATTGCATACGCGTCTTTTAGCAGCTGTTCTGTTTCTGCGTAGTATGCTGTCTTGATTTTCTCATCATCTAAGAAGTCCTTCTCTTGGCTTTCATGATAGTAGAACTGGAATCCATGGCTGTCTAGCTTGTAGTCAAGTTCATGGCCGCTAATGTCGTGGATGGTGGAAGACTGAGGATACACAGGTCGATCATAAGTTTCTGGTCTGCCGACATACGATGGTGCCGGGGGAGAACCGTCCTCGTTCTCTTTGAAGTAGTTCAGTGTAGTTTGGACATGGTGAGGTTTCTCGGAGACAGGGACGATGGGCTTCTCTGAGAGCGAAGAGCCACGGGCACCGGGAAGTTGAATAGCCGCAGAAGCCATAATTTGTAATTTAATAGAACTAAGAACAGATTCCTTGATACTACCTAGAGTTAACGATGAGAATGGATCTTTATATACTTGTGTTGCGGGGGTGAGCTTTATTTGTCAGGATCAGCACGCAATAGTTGTATGACATGGGAAATGCTGATAAATGCATATAAACTGGTAAGTAATTAAGTGTAACGTCCACGAGTATGATAGAATCATATTATTAACAGTGTCGTGCCATTTATAATCTTTCAAACCTAGAAGAATAGGCTGCCGCTTATGCCTTGTGATGTCTTTTGGTTTTTTGGTCTCTTTAGTGAGCTCAGGTATCATTCTATTTAGATGCCGCAGCTTTATAATTCGGCAAAAAAAGATGGGAAAAGGTGTGAAATGGACTTTTATATGTCCTTTGACATTCAAAACTTGACATCCTATATGCGGTTTAGGGGCTATTGGGTATTACATGAGAAATTATTGGGTTTATTCTTTTTAGTTCCAGTATATACCTAGGTATAATAGCTGTAATTGATATAGCAAACTTCATATCCTGTACAAAAGAGGGGACAAAATAAAAAGACGATGCCTGATATTCCGCCAAGCCTCTCCCCTTTTTCTGTACATTGTGATCCCTTCCACGGTATTTGCCCACACACCACAACAGATGGAATATCATGGCAAATTCCCAACGTCGAACTATGTTCCCGGTATGGGCACTTAAACGTCCTTGGCCACTGTCAACAGCGGTCGCCCCTAAACTTCCGGTGAACGAAGGCATCGAAGAAGAATGTACACCATACTATACTCCTACGCGATTTTATCCCGCACGTTTGGGTGACATTCTTATTGACCGATATCAACTTGCAACCAAACTCGGTTATGGTAGTAACTCCACCGTCTGGCTCGCTAGGGATCTAAACCAGTTTGTTCTCCACCCACGCCTCCCGAGTAGCATCTGCTAATCCTTGATCCAGATGGCGATGGTTAGAAGAGAAATATGTTGCTCTGAAGATAAATTCTAGCTCTCATAATTCTCGAGAGAACGCTGCTCAAGCTGAACTAGACATTTTAAAACACATATCTGAAGCGAATCCGCTGCACAAGGGTTGGGGTTTCGTTAGGCGCCCTCTCGATTCATTTACTTTAGAGCATGATTCATCAAGACATCTCACTCTTGTCTTCGAACCTTTGCGAGAACCCCTCTGGATATATCGCAAAAGGTTTATTGGTGATGTGATACCTTCAGATGTGCTGAAGATATTACTTCAGATGATGCTCCATGGACTTGCCTACCTCCACTCTGAGTGCCATGTTATTCACACCGGTTCGTCTAACCCTAGATAAATAAAAGAAATGTTAAACTAATAGATCCCAGATCTGAAACCAGACAATATAATGATCAAAGTCGAGGATCCGTCTATTTTGGAGGAATCTGCCAAAGATGAGCACGAACATCCCCTGCCGCAGAAGAGTTGCCCAGATGGCCGCACAATATATCTCTCTCGGAATGACTTCGGCATCTCCGAAGAGATCACAGGAAGAATCCAAATCACCGACTTCGATTTATCTGTCCGCGGGGACCGGGGGCCAAACAAGGGGTGTATTCAGGCCGAAATATATCGAGCGCCAGAAGTTATTCTTGATGCAGGCTATTCGTACAGTGCCGATATCTGGAGCTTAGGGGTCATGGTAAGTTTACAGTTCTATAATTACCATGTAAAGGCTAACATCGCTTTATTAGTTATGGGATGTTCTTGAAGGCAAAAAGTTATTCAAAGAGGTTGATCCCCACGAAGTTCAAGAATATGACGAGCTTAACCATCTTGGCCATATCTCTGCATTGTTAGGTCCTCCTCCAAAGGAACTTCTAGACAAAGGAACAAGGGGTGATCTCTTTTACAAAACCGATGGTGAGTATATTATTGTCTTGTATGTTCCAGCAAGTGTTTGCTGACTTGATTCAATAGGACAATTCAGAGGCACAACTATTGCGCCATCAAACTTCAACTTCGAAGATTCGATATGCAACATGCACGGTGAGGATAAGAGGATGTTTTTCGAGTTCGTGCAAAGGATGATAAAATGGAACCCAGAAGAACGAGGTACTGCAAAGGAATTACTTCAGGATCCATGGCTTTATGCGGACTTCGATGAAGATTGAAATAGCTATAACAACCATGCTCATGCCTGTTTTGTTCTTGTTTAATGCCTAGTTACCAGCTATACGCAGTGTCTAGGTCCATGACTTTTAAATTCAACTGAAATTTGTAGGATTATGGATTGTTAGAACAGAAGGAAATGTGTGTGAAGGTACAGGGGAAGCATAGGAGAATTGAAAAGGAAATCGTTTGTGCTATGAGGTCTTGAATCGTACAGTTGCCGTATTTGCCCCCTTCGCTCGCAAGAAAAGATAATTTGACAAAGAAAATGAAAAGTCAGTAAGACAAGTTCGCACCATACACCAACACCATGGAAGTCCTGCAAAAGGAGATCAACAAAAAAAAAGGCCATAGTGACTATCGCAGAACGAAAAACAAAAATCAGAATAGAAACGAAGTGGGAGACCTCCGAGAGACAAATAGAAGTAGTTATTGTGACAACTGGCATCATGAACAGAAGAAATGAAGGATGATCTGTGCTTGAGAACTCTACTCATGTTCAGAATATTTCCTAGAACATGAGAGAGCGGGTCTTCTGACGCCGAGCCTCAATACTACCCATCTCAGGTTGAGAGTAAGTGTGCTTATGTCGAGGACGTGGGGATTGAGGCGCCGGCGCCCCAGATCCCGCAGAAGATGGAGGTGGTCCCACCAGGGCACTGTTTCGGTTCCGAACAGGAGAAGGGACCCTGGCAGGTGCTGTGGGAATACCACTGGGTGGACGACGAGGAGCAGTGTCATTGCTGGATTTCATGCTCCGCTCACGCTTGAGCACAAGATCAGCCCAGGGCTTGAGTGCGCCATTTCCGGAGGTCGATCCCTTTCCAACAGCTTCAGACATGACTCGAAGCCAGCCCTCTTTATCTGCGGGGCTATCCGCATAGAAGTCAATCACTTCACCATTACCAAAGCGAATGCGGAATCCCTCCTCAACAAACATGTAACCATCTTCTTCCTCAGCGAACGCAGACTTACGGCGAGAACCACCCTTTGTGGTAGTCTCCTTCTGAAGTAAAGAGGATCGATCGTCAATAAGCTTGGACGCCTTGGCTAAGTTGATTGTAGCGCGAGGTTGGCGCGTTGTTTCGTGGAAGGCCGTTAACTTGGATCCCTGAAGCTTGAAAAAGCGACGGCGCCAGTACTATTGTAATTGATTAGTTTTATATCAATAGAAGAGGTTATAGAAGAGGTTATAAGCACTTACTGGACAATCTCCACCCTGTTGGGAAAGGAACCCTTCCCAGGAGCGAGATGCGACGCTCTCCGCATCACGCATTTCACGAATGCAGGCATTCATGCTCTTCGGCATGTCTTCATCCTTGCTACCTTTGGGCTTAGGCACAAAGAGCAGTTGGACTTCTAATTTTCCAATTTTGTATGGTGGTCGACGCTGGGTATTGATGCTTGTCGCACTCTTCTTGCTCTTGACGCTGCTCATTTGTTCCTCAACTGCCCATTCATTGAAGCAAGCCACATCAACAATGTGGGGACGGCCAAAAGCCTGCTGCTCGTGGTCGCTCAAAGCCACATATGCGCGGCCAAAGCTGCCATCACGCGCAACCAAGTTTCGAAGACGTTCATATACAGGAGCATTAACGTCCTTGGCCTTCTGTTCCTGCGACTGCATTTGCTGCTTTATGTCAAGCTCCTTGCGCCGGCGTGGAGATGCAAAAACACGGCTGAGGGCCGACGCCTTTTGACGTGATGGGGATGCTGCGGGTTCTTGGGTTTGGAACTTGCTCTCATCAATCTTCATCTGCAAGGTCAACTGGAACTCAAGGTCATTCTGGACAATGAGCTCAAACTCCTGTCCAATGGGAGCGGACTTGCCCATCTCCAGCCAAGAGGTGGTAACACAGTGCAGTCCGTTATCCAAAGTCAGTGCAAAGTATGACCGTTCGCCTAAAATTAGATTAGTAACAGTGAATCGCATTCGCTCGTGGGATATGATCTTACCGCGTGGGAGAGGAAGGTCGCAATATTTGAGGCCTACGACCTTCACAAACAAACGCCCTCGCTCTTCGCCATCTTCGAACGACTCGGAGATGGCTGGCTCATTCTCTTCAATGGTCGCGGGGGCTTCCTGGACATTGCTTGGCTGTCCAGGGAGAGGTGGAACTCCACCTGCACCAGGGACGGGCTTTTTCTTCGGGATACCGGTGGCAGGCTTGAGACTTGGGCGGCGCGGTGAACCGTTCCAAGGGACTGTGGTCCATGTTTGCTGGCTGGGTTTCCGTGGAGAAGACCCAGCAGAACGTGTACCGCGAGTGTCTTGGGCAGTTGGCTCGGGAGCAGGCATGGCTTCTTCTTCGTTACGGCTGCTGGCAATAATAACTTTGGTGTTCTGTCTCATGAGATATCCTCTCTGTTTGGGGGTAGGAGAGTCAGCGGGGTGTTCACTATTTCCTGCCTGGGAAGGCGGCACGGAACCAGGGCTTTGGGAAAGGGCTAGGTGAAACGCAACCTTTTGGGATTCAATGACGCGATCGAACTCTTTGTCCAGTCCAAAACCGAGGCTTTCTTCCTGAATACTGAAGGGAATGTCCAGCTTTAAGCAACTGCTTTGTCGCTGGGGATCCGTGGGCAAAGCCAATTTCGGTGGCAAGTCAGTTTGGTTAGGTTCACGATCCGACGCGTTTGAGTCATTGGAGATCTGCTTGGTCAATGAAGGGACGGGTGGGACGTGTTGGCCACTGATCTGACGGCGGGTTGCAGCCATGGACTGCATATCCGCAGGGGTCAGTGAGGGTCGGGTCTTGAGACCAGCACCAGGAGCTCGAATTGTGGCGATGGGTTCGGGAACAGACTCGTCGGATGAGCTTTCATCATGCTCCGGCTCCAGGTCTTGTTCCTCCTCTCTTTCTTCTTCTTCTTCCTCTTCTTCTACACCTTCGCCAGCATCCTCCTCGATTGGATGGCGAATGACGGAGTCCGGAGTTGAGGGCTCTGAATCTTGGTCATGCTGCATCTCAGGGGTGATAGGGCGTGCAAGAGACTGACGGATAGACGCCATATCGAATGACTCATCTTGAAGGGTGTTCGGCTGTTTGTGTTCCTGGGTACCCTTGTTTGGCTGTGCAGGCTTTTCGGCGTCGACCTGGGTTTCAGCATTAGGGGTAGTCTGTCCAGATTCCTGTTTGTGGCTACCATGTCCAGCGTGCTCACGCTCGGTAGCTTCAGCAGCAGAGCGTAGCGAGTAATTGCTGTCCTCGTCGTACTTGGCCCGTTGGTCGCGGGACGACAAGCTATTGTCTGACATGTTCTGATAATAATCCGTGATAGAGTAGAGGTCTTCATCGTGCTCTTCCTGCTTAATTATCACACTGGAAGAGTCGTCGTCATCGGTTTCCATCGATGGAATAGGAACATCAGGGTCATAATGGTCATAACGTTGGGGGCTGGAACCAATTTGGGAAGAGTCATCGAAGCTGTCATCCTCATAATTGTCACCTTTACGAATTCCTCGTAAGATTGAGTCTCGAGAAATGCGAGGCGGAGAAAAGAAGTTCTCTTTAGCCTCATCGTGTGTGCGTGTATCATCTTTTGATGCGACGTTTTCATCTGCTCTTGGAAGCTCCAGGGGCTCCTCAATGTTTTCCGCGTGGTGATCGTGTGTTTCATCATCGTCCCTCTCATGCAGCCTCATGAGACGGAGTCTCTCCTCTAGGGACACGGCGCCAGGAATATCAGACTTTGTGTACGAGGCAGGAGCAGGAGGTGCAGGTAGTACGCGCTGGCCTGCGCTACCGAGCTCGAAGGCCGCAGCCAGCTTACCAGCTGAGGATGGACGTGCACCTGAAATTCGATTAACAAATGGCAAAGGTGGAAGGGGACGTCGCTCCCCATTCGAGTCCAGCGATTCGACCCGTGTGTGCTGAGAAGATCCTCCTTCCCGTGAGATAGGTCGGTCCTCGGTGCTCTCTTCTTCGTCTTCGATAAAGGGATCCCCATCACTGTTTGTGCTGGGACTCATAAAGCGCCAGTCTTCTGGCAAGACAACGGGAGTCTTCTCGATGTCTTCCAGCGAGGCGTCAAAGCTATCATCACGCTCAATGGACGACTCCGCCTCAAAGCTAAGGTCACCTTCTTCATCAGACTCGTAGCTATTCTCTCGTGACTCAGACGCAACTGAGGAAAGATCCGGGGTTGTCATTTCATATTCATTGATTTGAGGAGGGGCGTGGTCAAATGTGACACTCTTCGCGTGCCGGTGTCCAGTGCTGCCATACTCGGACCAAATATCATTCTGGGGGTCAAAACCCTTGCCGTACCGGCTACCTTTGGATAGCGATGACTTGCTTGGCGATGCTTGGTCTTTGCTGGGGGACGACGGTCGAGAAGTCGGGGTGGTTTCTTCATCAAATTGGGACTGCGCAACATTCGATTGGCTATCCCTTTGCGAGGTCCTCTGCGAGGCAAAAGGTCTCTGAGGGAAAGTGACTGAAGCCGGGTCGTACTCTTGGCTACCTTCAAGGAACATGCTGTGATTTTTGACCTTGGACACGCGTTTCAAATTTTCGAGCGAGGGGCGCTTTGCGGGGAAATACCACCCCTCTGGATCATATGGCGCTTTATTCTCGGCTCCCTTAGAAAACGGCGATGGGGAGTCGCGGCCTTTCCAAAACAGGCGTGGTGAGGCATTGTTATTCAGAGACGAGACATCGTATGCAGGCGATTCGCCATGTGGCATCTGCTACTCATATTAGCATCTTTGATCGCATGCGATATGCCATGGTGACAGTACCTTAGTAACTTGATTCCAGCTAGGCGAATTGCGCCTCTGGGCCATGGGGCTCACTTCAGAGAGTGGCCGCTGACCAGATCCGTTACCCATACTGACGATGGGTTTTCTGGTGACTCAGGATACGAGATATGCAATAGTAAAAGAAGACCAAGACAGGATGTCTATGATGAGTCAGTACTTGCTCATCAAATCCTGATCGGCAGCGAGTGGGTTCACGGCTGATGACAAAGGAAATAAGGCGACACAGAGCTCAGGTACCATACCTTTCTTAATAACTAGGAGTCTCGGTCTCGTGGTAGATGTCGAGCGAGCCCTGAGGCATTCGATATAAAGACGTAAAAGTCGTGTCAATCGTGGCAAGAATGCTGCGTCAAAGGGCGAAGGCACCAAAACAAACCCAAGTTGGGGGTGTCTGGTTGTGAAAGGTAAAAACAGAAAGGGGAAGAAGGATAACGAAGGGATACGAATGCCAACTTGTCAAGGAAGGCTAGCAGGGAAGAGTAATAGAAACAAAGAAAGAGGTTATGAAGAACAGAAACAACGATACTTGATATGTCTCTCCCATGGATTCAAGTGGATTGTTACCCCAAGCAAGAAACTGTTGTTACGGGAGTTGTCATGGCAACGGAGGGCTCCGAGTGTTTCAGCCCGTGACATTGCGTCAGCAGCCTATGATCGACGCTAATCTACAAATAGAATAGCTTTGTGGATATTTTTCGATATCAACATGCACCTACCACCTATCCAACTACTATCAACCCTCCCAACACCTAAATATAGCACATCAACAAGCACGACTGGTCGAATGTTGTTATCCGAGAGCCCAATTATCGTTTCAGATACGGATTACATACCAAAGAAACCGAACACAGCTAGGGACTCCCCCTACATTGTATGAATTGATCGAATGCAGATAAAAAGCTCCCAGTTTCAACTTCTTTGGCATCATACACGATATCAACAAGCATCCCCAGGAGCATGATAATCTTTTCGCAGGCAGGAACTCAGAAGAAAAGCCAAGACAGGCCACCTCGATATCGGCTCCTCTCGTGTCAACAGACCACTACGCCTTCAAGTCTGTACTCCCGTTCTGAAGTCAAATATGGCCTCGGGTGCCCTTCCCTGCAGTAAATTATTAAGGCAGTCGGCTTGGTTCCTTTATATATGCAGTGAGGAATAAAGATACGTCCCAAGCACATCCAACATACGTGCATATAGGTCCAAGCCTATGAGTTACCTCCAAATAGTTGTCCCAATAAACCATAAATGGAGAAGGGGTACAGTTTTGTACCTTACAATATATTATTTTGGTTCTTGACCGAATCATCACACAAATTGAAAGAAGAGATAAAATGATCATCGATTGTGGGATTTCTGCCTGAGGCTTTCAATACCACGAACTACTGACTCAGCATCTTAATCACCTGATCTTGTGTCAAAGATTATGATCTACGCTAGTCCAAGATAGGAATAGCGCCTATCGCAAAAAAAACATCTGAACCTGTTCTGGCCTCTTCTTTTCGATCATTCCGTATTTGCAACTTTCTCACATCTTATCGCATTTAATTAGGTAGAATGCCTCTACCAATCCGCTCTTCGATATGTTTTCTATGTCAAACTAAGGCGACTCTGATCGCCCCATCGATTCTTCCGACCTCATGGCAGACCACGCGAGGCATGGCCACCGTTCGATTGCGCCGCAAGGCTGCTCGGATGGCCCTGTCGCCTACTGTTGACAGACCGTCTCTGCCATCTGCTAACAAGCCACGACGGGAACGGGCTGGTCCCTTTGCCTCGATGAATCAGACTCAGGCACGGATTCGAGACACACCACGCACACGATCACAGGCGGCCCTCAAGCGTTCAGGGGAGGAGGGCAAGGCGGAGAAGAAGGAAAGCCCATTATACAGAGCATTAAAGATGCAGACAACATTGACACCTGTGCCTTATGGCCGACGTTCTGCTATCAAAGCACGACTTGCCGACATCACCAGCTTCGACCACTTCCCTCTCCTTCCCGCCGTTCGACAGTCGATCTTCACCCAGGCTCTGGCTGGTCTCAGTGAGGTTAGCCCAACGCCAATTCAAAGACTCGCGATCCCCGAACTGTTGCTGGACGAATCCAAGAAGAAGAAGAAAGTGAAGCAGGCAACCGAAGATGAAATTGAATACAATTTTGACCAGTACCTCCTGGCAGCAGAGACTGGCTCAGGAAAGACCCTCGCCTACTTGCTTCCAGTCATCGATGCTGTCAAGCGTGCTGAAGCCCTCGATATCCAGGAGGAGAAAGCCCTTGAGGAACGGAAGGCGTTAGAGCGGGAGGAGAGAATGAAGAACAAGGCGTTCGATCTGGAGCCCGAGGAGCCGCCAATGACAAACGCGGCTCGCCCCCGGGCCATCATTCTCGTTCCCACTTCCGAATTGGTATCTCAGGTTGGTTCCAAGCTCAAGGAGTTGGCCCACACCGTCAAGTACCGGTCGGGCGAAATCTCATCAACTTTCACTCCCCGCCGGATCAAGAACACCCTCTTCCACCCTGCCGGCATTGACATTCTAGTTTCAACTCCTCACCTTCTGGGCTCTGTTGCTAGGTCGAACCCCAATATTCTCAGCCGAGTCACTCACCTTGTACTTGACGAGGCCGATTCCCTAATGGACCGGTCGTTCATGCCAACAACGTCTGAGATCATTGCTAAGGTTACGCCGTCACTCAAAAAGCTGATTCTTTGCTCGGCCACCATTCCTCGCAGTCTCGACAACCAGCTGCGCAAGCGCTTCCCTGATCTCCAGCGTCTGACGACACCAAACCTGCACGCCATTCCCCGTCGCGTGCAGCTAGGTGTCGTGGACATTGATAAGGAGCCATACCGCGGAAACCGAAACCTTGCCTGTGCTGATACCATCTGGTCAATTGGCAAGGCCGGAGATAGACATGAGGCCTCCGAGACATGGGGACCCCTCAATGCGTACATGGAGCCCAAGGTTAAGAAGATCATCGTGTTCGTCAACGAACGCGAGGAAGCCAACGAGGTTGCCACTTTCCTTCAATCCAAGGGCATCGACGCTACCTCGCTAAATCGCGACACCGATTCCCGGAAGCAACAAGAGACCCTCTCTCAGTTCACAGAGGTCAAGCTTCCACCGACTGCCGAGGAGATCATGATCAATAAGAAGAAGAACCGCGATGCCGGCAGCATTCCCTTCGAGCTCCCTGAACGTCAAGAGCAGCACACTCGCCGCCTTCCCGACACCAAGGTTCTTGTCACTACTGATATCGCCTCCCGTGGTATCGATACCCTGGCAGTGAAGACAGTGGTTCTCTACCACGTGCCTCACACGACCATCGACTTCATCCACCGACTGGGTCGTCTCGGTCGTATGGGCAAGCGTGGTCGTGCTGTTGTCCTGGTTGGCAAGAAGGACCGCAAGGACGTCGTCCGTGAGGTTCGCGAGGGCATGTTCCGTGGCCAGGCTCTGATCTAGATCCAGGTCCAGATCCGCGCGTGCGTGCATTTATTACATTGTATAAATCTTGTAACATACATGGCGTTGGTTTGAGGTTTTGATATTTTTGGGAACTGGAAGACGACTATACCCATTGTCGCAGCAATAATCATTAGATATTTGAAATTATGTACGATACGCAATCATATATGATGAACCTAACTCTCCTCTTGTATAACGATGTCGAGTCCAATTCTATCAGAACTACCGTAAACACATTTCCATTCCACTTCTCACACAGGTATTTTTTTCCCCAGCTTTCGCCAGAAGTCGCACCGCCTCTTCAACTCGACCAGCTTCACATTCTCGAACCCATCATCCACAACAACAAACTCCTCGCCCGTATGCAGTTCTGGCACACCTAGCTGCGAATCATCCGTCACCTTGTGTGCATTCGGGTCTCCAGTCTGGAAGAAGCTCGCAAAGGCGCCAGCGTAGCCTTCATAAACAACAGGGTTAGTCTTTTGAGCAGCGTTGATCCTGTTCCACTATAATTATTCAAGTCAGCGTATGCCACCGAGACCAGGAAATTTCCGAGAAAAACAAACATAAATAGTATCACTCCCATGCGTCGCAGGGGAAATCGTATACTCCCCAAGATACCCTTTCTTTGTCGCAGCTGACGCAATCCAATAAGCCGGACAAGAAAGCACAACATCCCGATAAACCAAGCCAGCCCGCACATAGGAAGTATTATAATGATGCATAGTCTCCGTACTCCCCTCGGCGGGATAATAAAGAGATTCCACCTCACGAATCTTCTTGGCCGACAACCCAGGCACGAAACCGGAAAGCCATTGGTGGAAACTAGCAACGGAGGAATTAAATCCATTTACCAAAACAGCGCTGTCAAGACCCGACGGAACGAAGTTCTGGCCCTCGTGGCTGTTGTACATTCCCCAGACAAACTCTGTGTTCAGGGAGTCCCTGTTCACAGTGTCTGTAAGTGTCTCGACGAGGAAAGCCCCGTCTATCACAGGCGCCCAGGTGTAGGAGCTCGTTGTCCAACTGTGGCTTGCGCCGATGATCAGGCTTGCGTCGCGTATCTTCTGGACGTCCACGGATTTGAGACAGGCGAGTGTCTTGCCAGCGTTATTAGAGCTAGCACAGCCTGTTAGGTTCGCTAGTTGGGTGTATATTTCTTCTGCTTGGGGTGCATTGTATTTATAAGTCTTAGGCCAGAACGGCGAGCTGGCAAGGGCTTTGGAAAATAGTTTCGGCTGACCATGGCGGCCGTTTGCGAGGACTTGCGCGACTACTGAGCCGGCACCGGCCGACTGGCCCCATATTGTTACGTTGTGAGGGTTGCCACCGAAATGGTGAATGTGGCTCTGGACCCATTTTAAGACATATTGTTGATCTAATAGTCCCGGGTTTAGATCTGAGGTCGGCGAGTCCTTGATTGCCTTGCCAGGTAGGAAACCGAAGGCATTGACACGGTAGTTGGAGTAAATAACGATGTAGTCGTTGATGTTGCTGACATTGAGGACTGGGAATGAGGATGGTGGCATGGTAAATGCCGCGCTACCTTGAATGAAAGCTCCGCCGTAGAAGACTACTAGCACGGGTCTGCTAGTATGCTTAGCCAGATCCCATGGTCGTGAGAATAGACCCAAGTAGAGACAATCTTCGGTTCCGTTGACCGTACGCTGGGGGCACATGTCGAAGTCCTGGTTTGTGTCATAGAGGCCTCCAGTGATCTTAAGTGGTGGCTGAGGCGCACGAAAGCGGTTCTCTCCTGTTGGTGGTGCAGCAAATGGGATCTTGCGAAAATATGAGAGGTTGTAGGTGCTATCATATTGACCTTCGAAGGTTCCATAGTCGAGGCTAACCTGAGGGTTGTCCCATGCAGTGCTAGCTGTGACTCCGAGACCGAGGAGAAGGGTGACAATCAGATTTGGGAACCTCATCTTCGGGTCTTAGCGGCCTTCCGTTTCGTAGTTATTGTTCTATTCCTCTACTATGTTCAGCATGGTAGGCCCTAGGCCATATATAGCCTTTCTGCACGCAATAAGGAATCATCGCCCCCATCGACGAGATAAATCGCCTTCGGTAAAGGAGACCCCGAGCTTCTGTATGGTTCTTAAGCAATTTTGGTCATTGTCAAGCAGACACTCTTAGGTTTTGCTATGAGAGCAGCTCATTGGTGCAGTTATTGTTGATGTCCGGGGCAAAATGCGGGGGACTTTCTGCAGTGGTTGTCAATTCGGATTCGATCACCCCGATAGATCATAGAGAACGACAGATAGTCGGAAGATCCCCAAAACACTGAGTTATATTTATATTCGACATGTCCACAATTAATCTGTTAGAAAGTAGCTGTCAAGGGAGTCCCCATGCGAACAAAGCCCAAACACTGTGCCCTCCAGCTTCCAACCCTAAAATTGCATCCTTGCAAAAACATCCAAACTCCAATCCAATTCCCATGCGATATGATGCCAGTCCAAAGTATTATCACAAATGCCAATTCTGTTAAACCAAAACTCCGTCCTTGTCGTCTTGTCTCGTAGATCAAACAGAGCTCCAAGGCTGTGCTGTTTACATAGTCATACGAAGTTCTCTAGTGCGACGCCGACTTGCCCGAGCATCACGGCGAGACTCAGCTGCATCACTAGTCTCCGTTTCTGGGGTATTTGTGTCTGACAGTTCAGGGGTGGGGGTAATCCCAAAACTAACGCCACGGTCTCGGCGACAGATACGTGATTGTGCGTCGGGGGACAAAAACCGATGGATGGTCCGGTGATCCATTACCCGCTCTTCACCATCCGGACCTTTGTCTGTCGATGGCCACTGGTAGCCGTACAGCTTGGAATGTCGTTCGCAGCGCGGACATTCACGTCGAGTAAGATATGAGTTTGACTGGAGGAACCATGTATCACAGGTCTGGCACTCCACCCAGCGATCATACTTCTGGGCTAGCAATCGCGATGTCTTGGTATAGTCTCCAGGAACTCGGGCAACTTGTGATTCAGTCTCGACGGAGTCTACGATGAATCGCCTCTTGGTGCGAGGCTTTCGCGTCTTGGGCTTATCCACAATGGCACCATTGGTGTCGTCTAATTTTGTAGAAGTTGATAAGTCTGATAATCCTTCTTCGGGGTCAATGGTTATAGGGTGGGTCGTGACGGGCTGACCTTTAGTTGAGGCATCGGGATGTTCCTCACCGTTGAGTGATTTCGACTCAGACGGCTCCAATGTAGTTTCTTCTGTCTTGATCGCGGTTCCCATGTCATCCTCAGTTGTGGGGGTAGTTGACGTCGACGACCGGTGAGATTCATCGGCGGTGGAGTTTGGAGAGTCGCAGTCCGTAGGGATAGTAGAATTAGTACCATTTGTCCCATTTGGATCGCATTGGGCAGTCGCGCTTAGGTGCCCCGCCCCTGTGGCAATTGGAAGGGGGGTTGGTGAATCAGTTTGCGATGCCATTGCGGTTAGCTCTGTGATCTCTTTCTTCAGCTCGGACACGTGTGGTACAGCTTCAGTTAAAAGGGCGGTTGGAATCAGTAAAGTATCTGAGATGGGGGTGTTATCCGATCCGCGCGTTGGAGCAGATTCCCCAGCAAGTTCAGAAACCGAAATCTCTTCTCGCAACTTGGAAACTTGTCGTTGGAACTTTGCACGTTTGCGCGGAGTGGAGCAAGTCGGGGTAGAGGAGCTGCCGGCTTCATCCACATCTGAGCTGCGTCTACGCTTCCTAGCCACATTGCTCTCTTCAATTGGTGGAGCTTCAGAAACGGGGCTGGACTCTTTGCTGTTTGGCTCTGTGTCAATATGCGAAGACCAGCCATTCCGTACAGCGCGCTCGCAAGTATGACACAGACACTCGCAGTTATCAACGCCAAAGTAATCCTCTCCGTAGGAAACCGTGATCTCTTCTCCCTCGTGGATGTCTCGCGTGGCCATGACAGACATGCCCTCGTTACCCCTAGTTGTCAAGCTACCGTTGGCATCACAGTCATGATTGGCAAAACGAGCGGGACCCAGAAAGAACGATGGGGATTTGCGGCGACTCGACATCACAATGCTGAAGTCTTTGCGGGTCAGGCCGAGATCCAACTCTTCTTCATGGGTCATAGACACGAGAGTTCCACTCAGGTGTTTGATCTCCTCGCCCTTTTTAATGAACCTGCGAGCACAGATTGCAGCCTCATGTTGCGTTATGATGTATCGATTGGTCGTGGTGACCTCAAACGGACAGTCTGGAAGATACATCTGAATGTACTTGCGGAGGTGTCGGCGGAACCACTCCTTCTCTCGGGGGCTACGGAGGTTTGCCATGTATTTCTTTAAGCCTGCTATTTCCAGCAGCTTGCGTTCAGCCGTTGCGATATCCTTATCGACAATAACGTCGTGGAGAAGAATGCGCCCAATATCGTCATCGTGGATTCCGCGGGCAGGGCTATACTTGGTGCGGTTCTTGCGGGTAGTGGTCCAAAAATAGGCCTACCAATAGCAATTGTCAGTAGACAGATATTTGTGTTGTACTGCAGGCAAAGAACATACGTGATCCACCAGCGCATCGGTTGCGACATCGTCATAGCTGGCCAATTTAGCCAGTGTCAGGCGCTCGCGACGTTCTGCAGGAGGCGAGCTCTTTCGCACTCTCTTTGGGGGCATGATGGAAGTAGTAAGAAGCTGGTGACCGCTAGATCTTCAAGTGGGAGACAAGAGGCGGTCTCATAGGATGCAGAGTGGATGCAAACGTAGTTGGGAAACAGTGGAGTGGGAGGCGGAGGTCCGAGGGATGGGGTCGAAAAATGACTCGAGATGCAAGGTAAGAATTAAAATGAGTGACTGACAATCAACACAAGTAGCATTGTGATGTGATTGTCACCATTGAGGCTGTTCCAAGGAGAAAGAGGTCTCCTTCGCAGATGTTTTTAGGGGCGGAAACTCGGGAGTGGCAGCTGAGACCTTACCGGTTCTCTAATTTTACGCTTCCTTTCCCCTTAACCTGTTGTTTTTGCTCAACTAATTATTGCATATGAGATAATTGAGTATTGGTAGTTCAATTTTCCATTCCGTACGGGGTTTGTTGTGATTTAATTTTACGCGCCCAGCTCGCATACAATATGCACCGTGCGTCAAGCCTCCAATCCTTTCCCCATGCCGTATCACCGTGAACCTGTTAGAGTGGAACTACTGCAATTGCACCCAATCAAGACGATTACTGAGATCAAATGATCATCCTTTTCTGTCTTGCGCGTAATATATATTGATACTATCCCTCAATGGGTCTTTGCTGGCGGGATATTCGCAGCCAATGAAGAACCTGATGGATCCAAGTATGAACATGGGACACTCTCTTTCAGGTCCATTCTTATATTCCATGTACCCCAGAGGTATAGAGAAGCCAGTCTATCAGGCTAAGTGGGAACCCGACAAGAAAAAAGGGCTATATAGATCTAAATCCGGATATCTCTGAACTATATATTTTATTGACTTAGGGATGTTGTATGGATTGAGTCAGTGGATTCCCACATAAGATGTTACTCATACACCTAGAAAGACACACCCTGTGAATACTATGTAGTCTAACACAACCGAGCACAATGGGCACATAAAAATGATCAGAATATATTATGAACAAGCGGTGTTTGTTGCGCTTTCATACGTATCATGGGTAACATGGCCAATTAGATAGCTAGAAAGACAGGCTTTCGGAAATAAAGAAACAAATTAATCTAAGATTTTAGTTGAACAACTGCAAGAAACTCAATTCCCTAAGAATCTAACTTGAAGTCCCATTAGACATTGTATAGAAAGGCATATATATACCCGGAAGAACATATTTTCCGGGAAACCTCCCTCCGGGGCCGCGAGAACAAATTGCGGACAAGGAATATCTCCAGACCAAGTACCAGAACACAATGATTCAATTAAAGGTGCGCAAGTGGTGATTCTCACTGACTCAAAAAATACTGACACCCACTCCGCCAGACACTATTAAATTGTATTGACAATTCCGGCGCCTCGATCGTCGAGTGCGTGAACGTCTTGAAGAAGAAGCGGCCCGCGACAATCGGTTAGTCTCCACGGCCCTCGAACCCAACATATAATATGCAACACACAAATACAGGAATTGTGAACCCAAGCTGACATTCTGATTGGTTATCTAGGTGACCGGATAGTCGTCGTTGTCCAGAAGCAGCGATCTGCAGGCTCCGAAGCCACTACCGCCGCTGCGCTCGCCAGTAAGGTCCGCCGTGGTGATATTCGTCATGCCGTCGTTGTTCGTGTGAAGAAGGAGTTGCAGCGCCCTGATGGGTCCCTTGTCCGGTTCGGTGATAATGCTTGTGTATTGGTCAACAAGTCCGGAGACCCTATTGGGACAAGAATGAATGGTAAGTGCTCTTCGGAGAGCCTTAGATGATGCCGTCTTCACGTTTTAGATACTGACATTTTCATAGGTGTGGTGGGACAGGAGCTACGAAACAAGAAGTGGTCAAAGATCTTGTCGTTGGCACCCATCCATGTTTAATATTCCATGTCTCTACATTCGTTGGGAAAGCGCTTGTTTCTTTGATTGGTTTCAATCCATATGTATTCTTAGTATTCCGTAAATAGCATCGGTCTCACCCCCGTTCCGAAATCTCCACGCATTCTCCCGTTCCTGCTCCGAAATAATTCGCCAAACTCCGATAATATCGCAAAAAAACCACAACATAAAATCAAGGGTATCGGAAATTTGAGACCGCGTTGCAGGAACGGGGCGAGATCACATGTAGACTTGACCGCATGCACAACAGACGTAATACAGTTTCTGAGTAAATAGAAGCACGAGTCAGCGCCTCGAATTATATTAGTCGGGGACAGGGGTCCATCGAAGGATTAGGTCTCACCATGCCGGTTTCGGCGGATCGTTGTTGTGACTGGAAAAAGACGGCTTCGGTTTCTCCGCAGCTTGGACAAAGCTTGTTCGCTCGTGGGAGCTGCAAATCATGGGGGGGTTAGCCTATGGATGCTCAGGAAGTTACAGAGCGGGGTCAGAGGCCCGGGGCTCGACTTCAGAGGACTCCAGGCTGTCACCCACAGGCGGCGCATGCTCGAGGAGACCCTCGTTGACGATGTGGCCGCAGATTTGGCAGGTGAGGATATCACCGCAAAGAGTACAAAACGCAGGATCACAAACCGTTGGATCAGAAGTCACATCCTGAGTAACACCGGCGGTGTCACCGACTTGGCTATGGAGGTGGTTTTGATAAACACAGTGAGAGGATGCGGGCTCGCCGACATGGCAGGTACGGCATGTAAACATCAACTGATTGTTGACTCGATCCTCCTTGGGGTACAGCAGGTTGGAGCTATCGGAGAAGTCAGCGAGATGTTCCGGAGTCAAGATATGCCCACGGCGATAGTTGTGAGCCATCGGACTCGGACAGAAACTTACCATTCACGGCAAAACTTGAAGTGGATTTGATCAGACGGCTTGGTGTCGCCACCAGCGGTAGAAGAAGGGGTGTCAGACATCCTGCAAAGATGGGTTTAAAACCGGTACGTCGAGGTGTCGTCGCGCGATGAGCTTCGAGATTATTGTGGGAACGGACCTCGGGAGACAGTGAGTTAAGGTGGAGACATACATTTTATCTTCAATTAACGATGATTGGAGAGGAATAGTTAGAGTCACGTGTGGGATCACGTGCGACCAGTATGGGAATGGGTTGAGTTGAAGAAGTTGAACTCCCGGCGACTCACCAAAGGGATGAGGTTTCACCCTAGGCAACAGCTTGTATTACTCACCTCGACCCTACCTAAACCTTGACAAGAACAATTCAAGGAATGTTTGATTTAAAATACATACTTCCAAGTTACACATAAATAATAAGTACATAGGTATTTATCTGCACCCCTGCATTTGTATGTGTTCTACGTACTCCAGGACTCTCTATACATTATGTAGTCAGCGGGAGAGCTAAAGCTTTGGTAATGTTTGTATAGTTTGCAACTTGTCACCTTCCCCCGCAGTTTCCGTTCACATACAAAGACGTTTTGATCGTTTACGATTTGGATATCGATCTGTACATTATTATTTACTCAAAAAATTCTCACCTTTTAGATCAAATCTTGGAAAATGGTAGGATCAAATCATCCTCAAAAGTTTGCATAGCTGACTCTTGGACCTAGGCTGACACAGGTCTTCCTACCGGTTGGGAAGTTCGCCATTCTAACTCTAAGAATCTCCCATACTACTTCAACCCTTCTACAAAAGAGTCTCGCTGGGAGCCACCTGCGGAAACCGATACCGAAAAACTCAAAGTCTACATGGCGCAAAACCACACCCCCGCTGCTGCTCGCCCTGACGCCTCTGGCGAGGGCGAGGGTAAGATCCGCTGCAGCCATTTGCTCGTTAAGCATCGCGATAGCCGCCGTCCCAGTAGCTGGAAGGAGGCCGATATCACTCGCACAAAGGAGGAGGCTATTGAGATTCTCAAGGGCCACGAACAGCGCATTCAATCCGGAGAGACCACACTTGGTGACCTGGCAGTCGCGGAATCTGACTGCAGCAGTGCCCGGAAGAAGGGCGATTTGTGAGTTTTTCTCGATGACCTACGTGCAGTATGCTTTGCTAACTCCTGGAAGGGGCTTCTTCGGCCGCGGCGAGATGCAGAAGGAGTTTGAAGACGCCGCTTTTGGCCTACAGCCTGGCCAAGTCAGCAGCATCATTGAGACAGCATCCGGAGTTCATCTCATTGAACGGTATGTTGATTTCTCGAAGTGAGGTTATCTATGGCTAATCTCAGATCCCTGTCTTCAGTGTCCAATAATCGCTTTTACCCATATCTTGGTTAATTCCGCGAAAAATTCCGATCGCAACAATGCTTTGCAGACCCTGGTTTCACGTCTTGGAATAATCTTCAAAGAAATAAACTACAATGAATGAAATGCCATCTTTGTTCTCTTCTGACTCAGAGTGTCTTGTCTTAGGTAGGAACAATCGAATAGCGGGAACCTGCGACAGCCTTTCATAGAAAGATGCCAATATGCACTTTGAAGATGAAGTCTCAGAATGCCTAGATTTTACGAACGAAAATTTCGACATACAGGACTTGAACCTTCTCGTTTGGATACAACATGGAAAGGATCTGATATCAAACCTATGTAACCAATTCTAAATAGACTCTGCCTTAGGCTAATAACAACGCGTTTAGGCTTAGTAGATGAATTGTAAGGTTCTACTAGAATAGTAAAATAAGCCGCGAGATTACCATGCCGTCGAGGTCATATGTGAAAGGGCATTGAGCGCAAAACATTACTATTACGGTCGAGACATTTCTCCCAGTTCCTCTACATTTATTCTCCCATCTTTCCTCTCTTTCTTTTCCATCCACAAATCTCGCTTTACCACTTCTTTCCCACATATCCTTCTTTCCCACATACTCTTCTCATACACCCATTAACAATGAGCGGTGTCACCCTTAAACTCCGCCAACGGCGGTCCATGATGCGCCTTCTTCACGAAGGCCGTTCGATTCTCGAGTACAACTTCGAGCCAAATGCCTTCACCATCCCCCAGTGGATCCTAGTTCCCCCAGAGGTGCGCTGTGCAATGAAAGACCTCCAGTGCAGAGCTATGGAAGCCATCTGTGGCATGAAGCACCTCATGGTGTCCCGCAACGAACGATACTTCAAGTTGTGCCCCCAAAACACAGGATCTATTACCTACCGACTCCACCACTCCTCCATGGAACGTCTTCTCCAATGGAAAGAGGATTGGAAACTCGCCGACCCGACTCTTGCAGCCGCCGCCAAAATCCCCCGTGACTCCCTCCAGTTCTGTGTCGACTCAATCGCCTACGGAAAGTTCACCTATGACTACACCCACAAGATCGACCACTACATGTCCGGTGAATTCCAGAACTGGCGTCAGTTTCGCACTGAGATCGGACACCTTGCCTATCGTCTCATGAGCCACAAGCCGCATGACTATGAGGAATGGCGTATCTGGTGGGAAGGCAAATTCGCTGAAGATATGTGGAAGTGGGAGGTTTGCCTTGAGGGTCTGATCCTGCCTACTTGGGAGGAGATCATCGATGACGTTTATCTGATGATCCACGATCGAGTCGAGGATGCCCAGTCTCTGGCCGACTCGTTCTACATCAGCAACCCGGTGTTGGCTTCGGCCATATAACTTGCCTCTCTGCACACCTGCATTCGATTACGGCAATTATGATTTGATAGATATGACGACAATTACGACAGCAATGTGAATTGGGATTTGGGTCTGGTTTCGGTGCCGGTACTGAGCGACCTGATGGGAATGACATATGGGAATAACTGGAGTTATGATCTTGAATTTATTTTCGATTCTGTTCCTTCTGAAATGCAGCGAACTTGAAAGTATGTATTCTACGACCGATTATGATACTTCAGAGCGAATTTAATTTGACACGAATGGTCGAACTATATGCATTATGGTCTTGGCGCTACAGCACACTTGCTTCCTGGTCTTCTATTACTTGGGGGCATTAGGGGAAGCTTTTCAACACATATGCATCCATCAGCTGATATTCAATTGCATAATGAAAGGAAAGTCAGAAATTGATTTCCATCAATGATCACGTGTGTATTTGAACCCTACATATCGATCGATAGGAGCCGCCCTGGAGGAGAACAAAGTTAGCTACTGCTAGCCACTTAGCTACCTTGTCATTGTTTGTCATTGTTTGTCTCTGCAAAAACAGGCACGACAAAGAAATAAGACAAAGAAATCTAACCAAGTCAAACAGATAAACAAAGAAACCCACGCCAGAGAGCCATCAAGCCTGAACGTACACATGGTCTTTGTGCAAAACTTGTCAGTCAAAGCTCTCTTCTATGGCTATATAGCTGAATGAAACTTGCGTGTGAGACTATAAGATATAGGTCTCTCGACTCTACTCTCCGCTAAAGCCTACCCAATATCAACCAAGGTATCAACCCAACTGAATCTAAGATACTCCATCCACCAAGATGTGCATCTACTGGATATGCAAGTACACACTATGCGGCTGTATATGGGACATGGATCCATCGAAATGTGCAGACAAGGGGCTTTGCTGGGGTCCAAGAATGATAACCGTCGAATCTCACACAGCGACATGCGGAGACTGTTGGGCGAGAGGGGACCACCGGGTCTACGAACAACAAACATGCAACGAAGCCGACAGAGAAGGAGAACAATCCGAAATGGCGACATTGGATTGCGGAACTGATGCAGATGGGAGTGACAATGGCTCTGACGAGAAAGAGGGCTATTTTTCAGCCGAAGAGTTCCTGTCGCCATCTCCATACTTGCGACCTGCGACCCCGCAACTATACTATGAGCAACATCCGGCATGGTGGCCTGTGTCTGATGATAACAATTTCGATTTGACTAGGACTTGCGACCCGGTGGATCCTGTGTCGATGAGGAGGGACTATCGAGCAAGGCGCCCAAAGACAACACCATCCCAGTACTCGTCGGATGATACGGATTCTTTTGTTTCTTGTGAAGAGTACCTCGATGAAGAAAACCCTGATGATAAAGATTACTGTTCACGGAACGGAGAATATGATCTCTAGTATAGTATTGTGGGTTCCCATGAAGGCGTGAAGGCCTGATCAAAAGTCAGAGGACTGGACATCAATGATATCCAAAAACGATGGTGCTTGATGTTCAGCTTCCCGACGAGGCTTGGCCCTTTGCCGTCGACACTGTCATCTACACGAACAATCATTTGTCAACCCGAAGACAAAGACCTCTCCATTGACTCAGAGAGTCAAGCTCTACAATCGAGAGCAAGAGCCCCCGTTAAACGCCCTCGACCATGGAGATCAACCGTTTATAGTTGAGAAGACTATCGTCTATCTATACGATCTCCGTCTCCTTTCCTCTCCCCTGAACCTTATGAGCTTCCCCTATCCCCCCGGTCTCGACAGCAGGCCGCCTACTTTTCGTTCTCTCTACAGAGGACCTTCCTGCTACCAACGTCTTAGCAATACCAGTGCTCAAGAGTGGCTTGATCAAGAGAGTGATACTCATTCTGAAACTGAGGCCCCTCCTCACTCAGCCGCAGTTCTCGTATCATAGTGGGAGAGATGGAGGGTGGAGTGGAATATATTATCAAATGTGTTAATATCTTGTAGACTACACCGTTTTTCTAAAAAAAAAACATTTCGTTTTAGTGCAATTCATCTATCATTTCAGGATCATTCAAATACTAGCGTCGGATAACTATTGTGTAGACGGGGATAGGATGAAGAGGGGTGGACACATGAAAGAGGCAGCCCTCTGAGGCTGTCTAAATCTACTACTAGTGGGAGGATGAATGGAGATATAAACCAAAACTGACATGTCGTAACAAGGATTAATGGCTTTATAATTTTGGCTAGATCTTGAATAAGACAGGACAGGTGGTCTAGGGCTTAAAGTCAAAAATTGAAACAGTGGCCCATCTCATGAACCTGATGGATTGATGCGTAATAACATACATGCGGAAAACAAGATCCTCCGACAACATGCAGAGCTAGACACTTCACAGACTCGTGTTCAGTCGTTCCAAACGTGAGGTAATCGCGTCAATAACAGCGGACCTGGATGAAGGTTAGTCATTGATCCATTGATAGATAAATGTAGAGTGAACTCACTCTCGTTCGACCATCCTCATCGCATCTGCAACCTTGGCCCGTTGCAGTCGTTGGGGCACCTTAGGCTGGCCCCCAGGAGATGACGGGGCTCCAAGTTCCGGGGAAGGCATTTTGGCTGTGACAGACTTGGTTTGGGCCATAAGGTCCAGAGCAAGGCGCTTGACCTAGATAATATGTGAGCATTTCGAACTGGGGCGATGCAAGAAACAAAAAAACTTACAGTCTCCAACCGTGACATCAATGGTTGATCCTCCTCTTGGTCTTCGCCCTGCTGCAGGGATGCAGACAATGCCTTCACCTCGGTTATCCAAGCTTTCTCCCTTTCACTCAGAGGGCGACCTCCAGAATTTAGAACCTTCGTGCGTAGTGCCTCATATCGTCGGTTCAGTTCACTTTGCCTATCCTGGGCGGCTTGCAATCTCTTATCTAGCGCATCGCCATTTCGGACCCCCTCCTTGCGATGTCCATCTTCCCCAATCTCACTCGTGACACCCTTGACACGCTCTGCAACATCCGCAAGCTGCTTCAATTGGTCCTGCATCTCGCCCTGCAGTCGCTCACAGCGGCGGAACAAATCTGAAGCAGCGCGTTCAAGAGCATTTGTATGAGCAGATAGCACGCGATGGGCAGTGGCCACAAGGTCCAACGTCGCAGGAGATAGACGCACTTGCTCTTTGAGCGTGTGGCGTTGACGGTGTGGGATGTGCTTCTCGACGAAAGAATCCAGCGGAGAGTTGGCGTAGAAAATGGCGGGAACTTGATATGGGGCCCGACTCGGGGGCAAAATAGGCAAGCTTGGCGCTGGCGCCCTGGCATCATATAGCGATTTGTCTAGTGCGACGGACAGGGAATCTTCCGGCGTATCCATTACAACTGCATAAGGGTTAGATGGATGATAGGTGAGGAGCAAGTAGCCAAGGTCGACGTCATAGAAAACAAGAGACGTGGTCAGGTGCTCATTCTGCACGGTGATATCGGCATCTGAAATCTGCAAAATTCTTTCTCGGTTGGTTACATTACCGTCACAGAGAACTTGGAGACGGAAAGCGGAACCTGCAGTGTCTTCGGTTTGCAATTCAGCTTCCAGTCTCTGTACCCAGCCGGATAGAGACAGGAAAACCACGTTCGTGGCAGTTGTAACAAAGAACGAGTATCGAGAATGGACATCCTTAGTGAAAGTAGGCCATGTACTTGTTCCCTCTCCACCCTTGATTGTATCCAGTGACTCAACCAAGACCAATTCAGTCGGCTCTGAAAGAGGAGTTCGGAACGCGTTCTTTTTAGCTTTGGGTAGCCATTGTCCTTCAACGCCATCGAGCTCTAGGCAAATGTGGACTCGGCCATTCCCACTCGTAAGAGAGAGAACCGTTGCCGAAAGTCGCTCTTGGTCTCCGGCTTCCGCGGCTAATTCTTCTTCCTCGCCCATCATGAGTTCCTCAACATTTAGACTGGCAGCAATGACAAGAAGATCGCAGAGATCCAAATCATCAAGCTCATCGCCACTGTCAAAGCGGAAAGGCCCTTGTAATCTTGGAATGGCGCTAGGATTGGCCGGGCGAGTAAACACATCTGCGCCTTGAATTGTTTCGGATCCAGAACGCACATCCAGAGGCTCTTGTTCATCAAGTTCGGACAGCCAGTCGTACTGCTGCCGGCAGGCAATCAGTTCCTCCTCGGATTCCTCAGGTTCCTGTTCCAGAGCACCAAGTTTCGGAATAATGGCAGCAGAGAGAGAAGGAATGGTCGTAGAAGGGGCTTGCCACTTCGAAGGTAGGAGAGGACAAAGCGCATATAGATCGCCGGGTCTCATCGCTACCCACAGGGTCATAGGTGCCCATGCATCTTCTTTTTCGCTCCCATTGCCAGCGAAACAGGCCGACGCAACCTCCATGTCAATGACATCAGCAGAGAATCCCTTACTTTTGCCAAAACCAGAAGGCGTGAAATCCTGGTCGGATGACGTCCCATCAACAAGCTTCTTTAGATCGATTGCTAGGGTCGGCTGATCAAAGGACCAGTGGTTATTCCGGTCCAACTCCCACACGCGCACCGCAGCATCAGCTGTGATTGTAACAATACACCCCCCTAGATTAGTGTGCAATCCCAGTGGATGCCATAGCGCGGAGACCACCGGAGCCTCAGGAATAACATGGGTCGTCGGTCCCAACTGATATGTCTTCAGCCGGATAGAGTCACAGTCGGAGGATGAAAGGTGTGAAGAATCGGGGAGAACGGAGATATGAACGGTGTGCTCAGTGACGATGGCAAGGAAGGCGCCGTTCGGGGAGGGGATGATCTGTTTGATCAGTCCGTACACAGGCACTGCTAAAACCTGCGGAACCGTTAGTCGCAATTCAATTCAACACAAATTTAGTTTGATCAGGTGTACTAGGTGTTCATACCCTGTAGGCAGGAGGCTGAGTGTGGTCGGTGTGCTCTTCCGCTTGACCAGCAGGTCCCTTCTTCTGCTTAATCTCTTGTTGCCATTGGTCTTTGAGTCGGGTAAGGTTTGACCACCGTATCTCATTGTCCACAACGGCGAACACCTCATTTCCTCTCTTAGCAATCGTTCGCGTAGCTCCGTTGTTCACAAGCTTGGGTCTAGTTTGCAGGTCCTCCGCTGGAGTTTGGGCTGAACTGCTAGAAAGGAACTTTGCGCCAGGCGAAGGCCGGCACAGCCAGGCAGGCGCATAACTGTTGACTTTCGGCATTGAGGATGTTTCGTAAATTGTGTATAATCAAAAGGTGTTGATAGTTTCAGACCATCCTGGGACGGTCGGAAATAGCAGATGAGTTACGCGGGTGAAAAAAACAAAGTTGGCGAAAGCAAAGTTGTTGATGCGGAGTGGAATTCTTGGGCGCCAAGATCTTTCGAAGAGCTCCGAGCTGCTTTGCTTCCCCAACTACCGTCCGCCAACCACGCAGTCCAAGTTCAACATTCGTACCAATTCACTATGAGTTTGTTGGCTGTAAATACAGTCGACCGACTGGATCGACCTAGCGCATACTATGTTAGCAAAGTGAGTACTCGCCCTGGACTGTCCTTCACCAAGCTGTGTGCAACTAGTCCAGTCGCAACCAACCCAGTCCGAGTGGGCTATAGAGGCTGAACAACCATACACAGAACAAGCGACGCAGATTCAACGACCGGGATGAAGATGAACAGCAGCAGGAGAAACCGGACGACAAATTGAAAAATGCGACAACCCTCTACGTGGGAAATCTGTATGCAAGCAGCATGCAATAACCTAGACCCAGTTTCCGTTACTGACCAATTCAAGCTCCTTTTATACCACCGAGGAACAAATCCACGAGCTCTTTGCCAAGTGAGAATGCGCCCTTGGTTCCCTTCGAATTAAGATTAACCTCGAATCCCAGGTGTGGTGAGATCAAGCGACTTGTAATGGGTCTCGACCGATTCAACAAAACACCTTGCGGCTTTTGCTTCGTCGAGTATTATACCCACCAGGATGCGCTGGACTGCTTGAAGTACATCGGAGGAACCAAGCTGGATGAGCGGATAATTCGGACAGACCTTGACCCTGGATTCGAGGAAGGACGGCAGTTCGGGTATGTATTTACTAATAGCGGCTACGGGCCAGTAATGGCTGACTTTCTCTCTACAGACGAGGCAAATCAGGCGGTCAAGTTCGGGATGAATACCGCGAAGAATACGATCCGGGCCGTGGTGGATATGGCCGCGCCTATGATGACCAGCGCCAGCGCGAGGAGGATGAATACGGCGCCGGCAGGTAGGTCAGGACATAATGAAAAAGTACTGGCTTGGCAAAGCAATGGCGTTACTTAATGGGAGGGTGAATCCAATTAGCAGAAACAGAAAATGTCTATTCGCCGAATACTCTATTCACAATTTTCTTTTTCCCCCATCGCCTTCTAATGCTAGTGAATTATTGCTTTAACTTGTCTCGTTTCCGCACTGCTGACTGAACTTCGTGCAACCACCAAGTGTGGATCCTTGCGTCGCCTGTCAGCTCCGGGTGGAAGCTGGTGCCGAATACATTGCCCTGTCGCACTGCAACGATGTCGCCAACTTCCTGGTCAGGATTGATGTTTCGACCTTCCGCGGCTTTTTGAGCTGCTGGCCCAACTAATGTTGCTAGCACCTCGACGTGCTCTGCTGTTGCTGCTTGCGCCACCGAATCCCGTGCTTGTCTGGATGGCGCCACGACAACATCGTCTTGTTGAATCTCTTCTGTTTGAATTCCCTCATGGTGAGGAAGAATCTTCTCGACGATAGGGGCCCGAATGAATACTGCTGGGAACGGAGGCGCGTCCCGACCCAGGAAGGGCAGATCCAACGGGCCTTGGAAGCTTTCCGTCTGTCGACCGAAGTGGTTTCGGTTCACTCGCACATCAAGACCACCAATTAGCTCTTGTCCGCCTTTCTTGGTCTTGTTAGCGGACTCTGCGAGCAAAATGAGCCCAGCGCATGTACCCCACGTTGGTTTGCGATCCACTCTGCGCACCCAAGGTATTAGATTGATCGGAATGATATGGGCTGACCGCAGTCAACTTACTTTACAAATTCCCGTAGTGGCTCGAGGAGATTTGACCTTGCTGCGACCAAAGACATGGTGGTACTCTCGCCTCCGGGCAATACTAGGCCATCGCATGTTGCTAGTTCTTGTGGCGTTCGTACTTCAATAAAGCGCCATTCCGATGATGGTGTTTTCTCGGCTGCTTTTTTCAAAAGTTGCACATGCTCGAAGAATGCGCCTTGTAGAGCCAGAACTCCAACGGTGATAGCCATTGTCTCTAAAGATAGGAATTGAGGACTGTCCTCGGAGTCTTGATATTGATGACTCGTTTGGCACGTGACTTTAACTTTCCGGCGGGGAACTTGGGTGTTGTCGCGTAATGACCTCTTATTGCTAGACAGCGACGTTAAGAACAATATGGGATAGTCGTACCTGATCCCATAGTTGGTTACTGTCTCCATGCACCGTAAGGTACGATCAAATCGTCATGTACATACTATGTAGTATCTTTCCATAATCTTACTTCCACGCACACACGATCGGCTTATCGACACGTGTTGATAGATAAGAACTCCGATAGGCGGGGCTAATATGGCTTCGATCTGACAAGGTGGGATGCGGAGCATGTAGGTATATATGAGACTATTAGACCTCGGTGTTTCTGGACTTGTGAGTAACTAACCGCAGGGTCTCCAGTAATGCATCCACTAACCAATATCAGACGAAAATGGATCTCACTGAGGTTGGATTGAACGACAGCTCCAAGGACCAGCCCACATTGGTCCGATGGTACATCGATGTCAGACGTTGGGAGGAAAACTATTTTGACCTTCCTTTTCTCGATACCTTAACTCAGTCTGATCAGGCAGCCGTTAAGAGGTACCATCAAACCTCGGACAAGCGCCTGTCCTTGGCCTCCCAGCTGCTGAAATATTACTACGTTCACCAAGCCACTGGCACTCCTTGGAATAGAATTGAGATTCAGCGTACTCCTATGCCTGAAAACCGCCCATTCTACGACTCAACCCTTGATTTCAACGTAAGCCATCAGGCTGGTCTCACTCTGTTCGCAGGCACACGTGCCGCAACAGCCCACTCAACTGGCGAATCCCAAGGTTTGCCTCGAGTGGGCATTGACATTGCATGTGTTGATGAACCCTCTCGTCGTCGCTCTAACCGTCCCCCGAAGACTCTTGCCGACCTGGCAAATTTCGTGGATGTCTTTACTGATGTTCTCTCACCCCGTGAGCTCGCGACCATCAAGAACCCCTACTTGACTCTTAAATTGGCGCGTAAGCTTGGGCTCAGTAAAAGCGACCCCAGCAGAGACAATGAGGAAGTTCTTGCTGCCTACGGCGTTCGGCTCTTCTACTCAATTTGGGCTCTTAAGGAGGCTTACTTGAAAATGACCGGAGACGGCCTGCTGGCCACTTGGATAAAGGATCTGGAGTTTACAAACGTCGTTCCCCCCGAACCAGTCGAGGAACTCGGGTCTCCTGTTTACTCTGTCCAAAATTGGGGCCGACCTTACTCCGATATCAAAATCTCCATAGGTGGCATTCCTAACTATTCTGTGCGCGTCCAACTCGTTAGCTTCGAGACCGACTATATTGTCGCCACGGCTGCCTCGGGCCCTAATATTGGAGCGGTTTCGCGGCAGGTGATCGTGGGTGACAGTGATCACCACCTGCCCGGGTGCATCACGACCCCAGACCCTGAGAATGAACATCAGAACGTCCGTGTTGCGCCCCTTGCCCTTCGCACAATCGGCGAGCAGGATCCGTGGCGAGTGAACTCGAAAATCAGCGACCCCTGGTTGCCCATGCAGGAGGTTGATATTGACATCGATATCCGGCCATGTGCTGAGGGCCGCTGCGAGCACACCCAGAACCTGCCAAGCTTTTGAGTGCCCTCTTCCCAGGATAAGACCAGTGACCATTCCCTGGAGCTACTTGCACGTTGCATCCCGTATTTCTTTCTGAGCGAGCTTTTCGGCGCATTGATTCCCCTTGGCATATTTCTGTGCATTGTTATGATTAACGAAATGAAAGAGCTCCTTTAATTCCATCCCTGCGCGTTTTATTCTGATTACTACATATATCCTTTTGTTCCAAGTAGAAGCAGTTGTAATTCTTCTTCTGGAAGGCTACCTAGTGCCGATGAGATGTACAATGACCTTTATGATGGATATTCACTTTTGATTTAACTACTGAAACGTCAGCTGCAAGGGCACTCTGCGAAGATAAAGTACAAGATGCGCGGTAACGGGTAAAAGAATCCAAGCCTATTTCTATTCTATGGACGAGTGTAGACCAAGTATATAAGAGTAAAAAAAGCAAGTATCCAACAGTAGCCGGGTCATGTCATGCGTTGCGCTAAGAATATATACATTTTAAATTCCAAAGGGGGAAGAGTTGGATCAAGAGTCAAAAGTCGGTCCAGAGGCAATGCCAATGTCTAGACTATTGTTGATATCCTGAGCAATGAAGGATGGTGTCGGATAGGTTCGACGTCTGGGACCTTCAAATTCTATTTCTTGGGTATCCAAGAAGTGGACAGAAATACACTGCGGTGAATGCAGTGCCGGATTGCTTGGTTAATTGTGGTGTCCAGGTTTGCTCTCTGCTGTTATGCACTCAAGTCAAAAAGAGGCATATGGTTAGTACTGAGCGCGGAGCTATGTGACAAAGCACAATTTATCTTGCACTTAGATTTCGACGGCGCTGGAGACGCCGTTGGTGCGAGCACCATCAACCTCATTCTTCTGCGCATGGGACATTGCTGCAAGGGTTTTCAACATTGAATCCCGCGTCGATTGGGTCAAGCTATCCACATCGCCCGATGTCAAATCCTGAGTCTGGATGGGAGGCAAGACTGTTTCAGAATTGTTAGCCATGCTCTACGATCAGTAACTTTTAGTATGACCAACCTTTGATTTTGATAGCCCCGGCGTTGAATCGCCAGGCACGAGGCGACAGAACGTGCGAATAGTTCTCCGTCACAATCGGCACGATCGGCACACCGGCCTTGACAGCAAGGTGGAAAGCACCCTTCTTGAAGGGTAGTAGGGTAGGCTCGTCGGAGTAACTGCGGGTACCCTCAGCGAAAATAAAGACGCTCTGGCGGTGATCGCGCATCTCGGCGGCCGCGCCATCGAAAGCCTTGAGGGCTGTCTCCCGGTTGGCACGGTCAATGAACACGGTCCGGGACAGAGACATGAACCAGCCCAGGAAAGGAATGTTCCGCAATGACTTCTTGGCAGTCACACTGCAGTATGGCGGGAAGACACAGCCAAGCATCAACACGTCGAGCTCAGTTTGGTGGTTACCAATGAAGACGGCTGGACGAGTGGAGAGGTATTCTTCGCCTTCAACAACCTCGAATGTGACACCGGTTGTAAATCGCATCAGCCACTTGAAGCTGCGGCCTGCTGCCCACTGTGAAACACGCCCGTATCCAACTAACCGCAGACAGATCGAGACGACCACTCCATACGCGGCAGAAACGAGGAGACAGCCATATGAGGCGAGACACCGGGCAAAGAAAGCGGCCCGGGGCACCTTTTGTCCGAGTGCAAAGAGGGAAACTGTCAACACCACGAAAGCGCTAACACCCGAAGTAATATAAGAGCCGAAGGACATGATGACGGTTGTTGGGGCGAGTCAAGAATAGCTGGGTAAACGCGGTCAGAGGACAGAAATTATACTTCCCAACAGGATACGTACCTTGTTCTTTGTTATGTAGACAACACCCAACCCACGACGGTAATACAAAGGAATTAAAAAAGAAAAGAGGAATAGCAGATCAAATCCAAGACTGAGCCATGCATGGCTTGTGGGGAAGGGCAAATCGGAGTAGAAACGTTGAATCGTTTTTCTGCCTTTAAGCCGACTTACCGCCTGGAAGATGCATATGACGATGTCACCAGGGCACTTGCGGGGACATGCATATTGTAGAATCAGCTATATTTTGAGGATGCAATACCAAGAATCAGTTTCCTTGAAAAAAATAATGGAATTATGCATGCATCATCCTCATTATGCATGTCCGAGGAAAATCGTTCAATTAATGTACAGAACACCATCGTATGCCAGATGTCTAAACCTGGAAAAGAAAACTCCCCAGTGATGCTGTGCAAAGAGGCCCTCAAACGCCAAGTTCATAAAGAGGGCCCCGTAGGAACCCAAGAGAAAGACCTGGAACATCACAGGTCTACGCTATGTCCTCATCCTCCATATCGTCGTCGTCCAACGACTCCATCGCGTCCTTGATGTACTGTGCAGCCTGTGCGGGATCACAGTCAGAAAGAACTCAAAAAGGGAACGGAACATTAATGATTAAGACCTACCTTTGGGTCCAGGTTCAAGGCCGCTGTGAAATGCTTGATAGCGTTGGCCTTGTCGTGGAGCATTTTGTACAGCTTTCCAAGAAGGTAGTGTACGTTTGCCTCATCCGGTGCCATGTCCTTTAGAACCTTCAATTCTGCCAAGGCAAACTTGTATTCACGCAGCTTCATCAGTACGCGCGCCTTCCGGAACTTCGCCAATACTGAGTTGGGGGCTAGTGCGGAGGCTCGACCATAGTGAACCAGGGCATCTTGGGGATTGTTCATTTTCTCCAATACCAGACCAATGCAGCAAATGAGCACTGCATTCGTCGGGTTGATACTGGCTGCATTGCGGAAATGCTGCTCAGCGAAGTCAAGCTTGCCCATCTTGTCATAGACAGTCCCCAGTCCGTACCAAGCATTATAATGTCGATTGTCGGCGTTGATGCCGTGGCGATAGGCCTCCAATGCCTTATCATATTCTTCATTGGCGACATATTCATGTCCCTGTAGCGTGAAAGCATATGCAAATCCAGGATCAATCATGGTCGCACGCTTGAAGCACTTGAGCGCTTGATCGTGATCCCGTTGGTGAGAGAAAGAGTTGCCAATAGCACACCATGCCTGAGGGGATAAACGATCCGCTTCGAGTAGCTGATGTGCCAAGTAAGCCAGTTCTACATCACTTTTCAGATGCCATAAGACAGTGGAGTATATCTCCATATCCTCGGTGCGAGAGGGCGCTAATTTCTGAACCCTGGAGAAATACTTGGCAGCTTCTGTGTAGCTTGCTTGTTCGAAATAGGTCCGTCCAAGTTGAGACAAAACCCAAGGGGTTTCACGCTGCCCCTGGGAGAGAGAATTGAAAGAGCTGATGGCCTCCGCGCACTTGTAACGACTCAATGAGAAGTATCCAGATGCAAGTTTATTGAAAAGTCCCAAAAGCCAATCCAATGCTTCGAGCTCTTTGGTTTTTTCGGCATTTTTGGGCATAGGAGGGACAGCAGGATGGGATTGTGACGAGCCAGTCCGATTATCTTTACCATCGTTGTCGGGTGTCTCCATGGGTTTTCGATTGCCACTCACAACACGCCCGACAGTGGGCGCACCTACCCGTCCTTTCGTAGGCCCTCCTCTCAACTTCTTCATTTCGCGACCATCCCTGCCGGTAAGCGTGCTGTTTGAAAGTTTGCTGGTTGTAGGTTTGATCTGGTTGAAAAGGCGAACGCTTCGGCGCTGGGGTGCACCTGGTTCAGTCGGTTGTGACGAAGGAGGGGGATGGGCAACTTGCCCAGAGACTGTGCGCTTGCGGTCGCCGAATCTGGATACAAGAGAGGGGTCTCTTTCTACTGGAGCAGTCGGCTGACTTTCTGGTTCGGTTCGTGTTTTGTGTCGAGGTCTGATGCCTGTTGGTCGCATTCGCGGTGGAGGTTGCCCGGTATGGTCAAGGCTCATAGTTTGGATTGTCCGCGTCTTTCGAGCAGGGGCTAATGGTGCTTCCCATCCAGCTTCTGGGTCAGTGACGCCATTCGCAATGCGGAAATCATCGGAGCCACTGCTCTGTGCGCCTGGGGTCTCCATTCCGTCGTGGAAGACAGGTTGTGCCAAAGTAGGAAAATTGGCAGAGCTCCCATTCAACTTTTCCCAAAGAGCAGAGCTCCCAAATGTGGCGTCAGTCTCGCCACGAGAGGCAGAGACCATAAAAGGGTCGGATTCAGGGTTACCAGGAGGTTGCACGGGAAAGTTACCTTCTTCGTAACACACATTGTCTGGCGCAGTAGCTGTTTCCTCCGGCGATGAAGATATTATTGCAAGAAGTTCTGGGCTGAGCTGGAAGATATTCGGGACACGAATATTGACACCTGAGATTGTGTTAGAAAAGGCCACCCCAAAAGAAGAAGCCGGGCATACCTGTTTCGCAAAGCCCTAGGAATGCATCCCACATGAAGGGGTTCAATTTTAGTGCCTCCACGTAGCAGTCAACTGCTTTGGTCAAATCTTTATGTGCGTGCCAAAGTTTTCCCTGCAGAGAATAAACAGCCGCAGCATCAGGCAGGTGCTGGCGCTGGGTTTCACTATGCTTATCTATAATGTAATAAGCGCTTGAATTTGAAGTTAGAGAAGTTTGACGGGGCTTACTCCAGTGGTTCTTGGAGACCCAGTGGGGTTTGCTGCGCTCCAGAGCTGTAACACCGTCCAAGTATTTTCCCAGGTCCAGGCAGGCCTGAGCGAAAACGTAGGCACAGCCGGCATGCAGACCGCGCGAGCCCGAAGCCTGGCTGCATTCGAACGCCGCCTTCACTTCCCCGTTATGTAGATGGCAAAGAGCGAGTAGGTATTGAGCTTCAAAGGATCGGGGTTCATAAGCGAGGAGGCGTGCAGCGAGAAAGAGCGCATTGCGGATTAGGTTATTGTCAAGTTGGTAATAAATGAGGTGCCTTAGCTGACTGGCAACATGCCCGGTGGACAAGGCCATGGTGAGGGGTCGGCAGCACGTTATGCGACAGCTCAAGGCAGGGAGGGGATTGTGTAGTGATTATCGAAGGTTGTGGTAATGATGCGATTGGGAGAGTGGGTTAGTCGGCGTTACTGTAACATCAGTGTCCGGCGCCTTTGTAATGTCCTCCAAGACGCGGGGAGAAAACGACGCGATCGAGTGAGTTGTTGCAGCGTGATCGAATGGTCCATCAACAGCTACTAGACATGGACAGCAGCAAGTCCAATGTCTTTGAATTTTCTTAGATGCAGGAGCTATCGACTGCTTTCGGTACGCAGGTGTGGAACAATGAGGAATGTAAACCCAAGCCGGAAATCGTAAGCGGATGAAAGATAGAAAGAAACGAATAGGGATTCCTCTGGTTACGTCATCTGCGGACGCAGGATCAGTCTCTCAGAATGTCAGGAACATTTCCAAAGAAGTAGAGGACTGTAAGATGTGCTCAAGATGAGACGAGCTTCGGTCGTTCTTTCTGTTATTTTGGTCTGAAGCGGCCTTTGTCATTTCTGCCGTTGTTGCTGGGCGGTGAGGGTAGTGGAGGGCAACAATCACCAGATGTGCTATAGCTGTCATGCATGTCCCCTCTCTTCTTCTTTTTCGGTTTAGCCTCGGATTCTCGTCACTTGCTTATCATTTGAAAAGGAGGAAAGCTTGGTCAATTCATCTGCAGCATTGTGTACCTGGAAAGGATCATCTTTAGCACCATATTGCAGATCACTTGGTGATCGCATTCAATCATGGCTCAGGTGAGTTAGCTCTGATCATTGTGCAGGGAGTTTTCTGACTGTATCCCAGAAAGCTGCTAAATCTCTGGCGACCCGCAATGGCGCAGTACTCAGCCGTACCCACCTTGTCTCTGCTGCATTGCACCTGCTCTTCCTCCTCCTGCACTTTGTCTTCCAGCGGCCGCGTTCGTTGAAGCCATATGTCTTCCTAGCTGTTCCAACTCTCGCCATTGAATACTACTTAGACCGGATGGGCCGGCCCCGCTACAATGAGGACGGCTCTCTGCGTTCCGCTGGCGAAGATCTCAACGCCACTGGCCTGACGGAGTATATGTGGGATGTGCTTTACTGGACTCAGGGATGCATTGTCGCTGTATGCCTCTTCAACGACCGGGCCTGGTGGTTGTGGGCTGTGATTCCATTGTATTCTGTGTATGCTGCCTATACCACGATAATGGGCGTGAAGAAGGGGTTTGCTGGAATGGGTGGTGGTGATGCTAGCCAAGAAGGCGATGCCCCAAAGAGCAAGACGCAGTTGAAGAAAGAAAAGAGAGGCTCCACTATGAAGTATCGGTGATTCTGCTGGAGTATGGAGGATATGTACAAAATGAGCTTATATAGAATGGGAGCTCTAAGGTCCTTCCTGTCTCTACTGGTTGCCAATCTCAAGCGCCCTTTTTGTTCTATATCTTTATCAGTTGGGGACCCTCGAGCTGAGTTCAAGCTACATAAAGGTTTGCCTACGTGTTTTGCAGGCCAAGCATTTGATACAGAACATTATTTCACTTTTCTCTCACAATTGAAAAACTTACATACAACTAGAAAATTCAATTCATTATGTACCGAACGTATATATATCACTTCAAAGCAAGCCTAGTATTTTGACCAGGAAGTGACTAGAGGAACGCAGAATGAGAAGATAGAAGCCGAAAAAAGCAAAACTGAATGTTGCATGCAGATCATGAGCATATGGCCGTCGTGACAAACTATATGGGGAATAATGCGTCGTGGGCCGCGCATGGCATTCCCGAAGGATGGTTTTCCTTTGGAACAAACTGGGTGAGTCCGAACCAAAAGAGAAAAATGAACGAAAAGATGATACACGCCGGATTAAAATGGATCAGAGTTCATCTTTGACTGAAGCTGCAGCACTCTTGATGCTGCTTGTTGCATCCTCAACGTGGGATGCGGCGGTCTCGACTGCCTCAGACGCGACGCTGCCATAGCTTGCGGCTAGATGAGTCAGTTGGGAATTGGCGCTCTCAAGGGCTTCGATGAGGCGTGAACCCGCGCTCTCCATTGCATTGGGTTCCTGGCCATAAATAGCAGTGCTGGCTTTGGATTGAATACTCTCAATAGAATCCTTGGCGCGATCGATGTAACCAGATTCCTTGCCGTAAACCGCACCACTGATCTGGGCAGAAGCTGTTGTGTAGGCATCGGCTGCAGCATCGGTGGCCTTTTCATAGGAACCCTTAGGAATTTCGTAGATACCAACGCTGGCGGCTTCAACAGCAGCATGTAGTTGGTCATTCGCGTGTTGTATGATGTCCTCTACGCTTGGGGGTTCCGAAACGATAGAAGCGGCGGCGGAGGATGCTGATCCGTAAGCCTCATTAACGTAGCTAGAGGCAGATGAGATGGCAGCAGCTGGGTATGGCGTCTCGTATGCCGCGTGCAGCTTGCTCAGCACACTCTCGGTAAACGAAGGCTGCTTGCCCACGATCAGTTCAGAGACGAGTTCTTGGACTGCCTCAAACTGCGGACGCCCATGGTTCAGCACTTGCTGCAGATACGGTGTTGGTGTGCCGTAGATCTGCTCGCTGGCTTTAGAGATGAGATTTTCCCAGCTTTCAGATGCCTGACTAGAAAGTGACTCTACAGGGCCGGTGGGAGTTCCATAGATAGCCGAGCTGGCCGAAATGGAGGCCTCAGAGAGAGATGAAGAAGCCGCAGAGAGGGCGGCATTGTATCTGGATGAAGCATCATCAATAATACCTTGTGCTTTGCCACCATCCGCAGAAGAGATGACCGAGCTTGCCGATGCGACAACAGCGGCAAGGCTGGCAGAAGCCAACGAGGAAGCGCGCTCGTACTGTGAGCCAGCTTCCTCAATGATTCCCTTGGCTGGAGTTGGAGTTGGAGAACCATAGACCGCTCCAGATGCCGTAGAGACAAAAGCGGAGTAGTGGTCATGGGCCAAACCGACTGCCTCGTAGTATCGACGCTGGGCATCAAGCACGAATGGGTCGAGACCTCCCCGAGGACTGGCTGTTGGCTCTGGTTGCTGCACTTGAGATAGTTGTTCGGATGCTAAACTCAGTCCCTGGCTTAGGCGGGAAGATGCGATGGATGAAATTTGGGCCAGAGGTCCAGCGTTGGATGGCGTCGCGGTAGCACGAACAGCGCGGAGCTTCGACTCCAGCTCATCTGTGGCATATTTTAGAGACTCCGAATAGGCCGACTCTATGGAAGCTAGGAGCTGGGAATGAGCAGGAGCGCTAGATTCAGCCATTTGGCCAAGAACCTGAGACTTTGCGATCTCATAGAGTACTTTAGCCTGCTCTGTCGAATGAGCAAATGCTGAGCTGGCTCCGCCCATGAAAGATTGGACAATCGGTGTTGGAGTGCCGTAAATGACCGAGGACGCACTGTGGCAGAAATTCGCATTAGCGAGAATTCGATTTTGTATGCAATTTTTAAAAGAAGCTGGATATTCTATACAACTTACGCGGCTACAGCCTCGCTATATTTTTCAGAGGCGGCACTGGAAACCTGCTCCCGGGGGCTCAGAGGAGTGCCATGGATAACGGTAGAGGCGGCGGACCAGGCAAGAGAGTACTGTTCGCTGGCCAATGATGCTGCCTTCTCACCGACTCCGGAGGTTGTCGATGCACCGTAAATAGCTTCACTGACAGCATTGCTCACTTCGGCGTAGGTGTCGCTGGCCTTGCTTGCCAGACTGTCTAGGACATCGTGACCTTCGTCATCCAAGATCGGTGCTTGATGCGAATTTGCATCGGCAGCCGCAACACCAAAGGCGGATCTCGTTGAGGGCTGCTCTTCTACCAGAATATCATCATCCATAACAGACTCGTCCGCGCCATCAAAATACGCCTCAGCATCAACAGCCGTGGAAGGTCCATCGGCAGAGTGTGCTTCCTCGTAAGTGTCGTCAGATGTTGACGCTGACATGGCTTCGGGAGACTCATCGTGTTCGGAATCCACCTTGATGGCCTCTTCGTCAGGTTCCTCAGTCTCCTGGGGCTTGGGCCTAGCCGGCGGGGCTCCGGTGCGAGTGTCGAAATTATCGCTTACTTCACGAGCAGCGATCTTCCAGATCCCAACATCCTTCAACCGGACAAGTTCTCTGGCAGCTTGTTCGGCTTCATGCATGCCCTGGTCCAGGATGTCACTGGCCACGGCTCTAGCGTCAGATACGGATTTGTGATTCATGCCGACATTTCGGATGTCGGCGCGCCATTCTTCGAGTTGCGTTTTGAGGGCATGGTACTTAGCCCAATCCTTGTATGTGACACCATCCATCCACGCCCAGCGCATACCAATTTCCTGTAGGCCTAGATCGCGAATGCTGTCCAGAACATCCAGTGTCGAATTGACGGCAGCAGTGACTCGACGAACAAGTTCGTCCTCAAACGAGATAGACCACTCTCGGAGTGCATGTGCGCGATCTCTCACAAAGATAGCAGAAGCTCGGATATCTCCAACCAGCAAGTCGCTAGTAGACTTCTCGATCTCCGGGGAGTCCTCCTCTGGCATTGAACCTGCGAGTTCATTGATACGTTGTTTGACGGAGGAAATCTGCTCAGCGGAAACCGACTGAAGCGCGGTAGAAAGGCTCTGGCCATGGCTGTTCGCGCTGCTTGCAACTAGGGCGGATACGATTTCCCCAATACGTTCCTCAAGGTCTTCAATACCTTTATTAGCCGCGAGAGCAAACTTTCCCTGCCACCGCTCAAGGTCCAAATCTATCTTCTCACGGGCTTGCTGCGCTTGCTCGGTAGGAGTCAGTGTGGGTTGGGCAGGAGACAGGGGCGTGGAGGTTGAGGTCACAGTGGTCGTGGTGTGGATTTGCTCCTCTGACTTGGTGGTCGAGGAGGTAACAGGCTGCACAGTCGAACTGCCAATCATCATGGTTAGCAAGCCATGGGTTGGAGAAATCAGGGAACTATATATACCTATCCACATCTTCTATCACAGCGCGAAGTCGCTTGCCCTCCCTGTAGCTTGCTAACCGCTGGCCAATCTTGACTAGCTGGGGCTCCACTTGCTCAGAGTAAAGACCGGTAACGTGAGGCCATAGTGAGCTATTAGCAAAGTAGACCGCAGATGACCATGCATACTGCGCCCGGGGCATGACATGGGTTGTCAAAATACTCTGGCCAGTGGAGTAAGCCTTCCAGATGAAAGGCTTGGAACTGGCGTAGAAAGGTACCAGATGGCCCTGATACACAGTGAGAATAACATTGTGGGCCCTCTGATAATACGGAGAGACAATAGCAGCGCTTTGCTGGACATAGGGATCGACCTCGACTAGATAAAGCTGGTGCACCTTACTTTGAGCAGTGTGAAGTCTTGGTGTGACTTGATTTTCCCATTGCTCAACCCCATAGGCCTGAGCTTGCTTCAATGCCGGCGCTCCGTACTTTTCATACCCGGATTTGGCAACTTTGGATGCCGGGGTATAAACTCGGTGATTAAACACTTCCACGTATGGCTGGGCTTGATCGACGTAAGGCGCCGCATAAATATCATAATATGGCGTCACATAAGGTTCCACATGTGAACGAGCAATCAGGTATGGCTTGCAGACTCGAGGCGAGATCTCCGTGAGGTCTTCGAGGTGGGATGGGCATCTGAGGAATGGCGACAGGAGTGCGTACCAGATACACAGCCTGAGAATTGAAGAGATTAAAAGAGGATTCAGATTATGTATGAGGATGGCGATACCACCACTCACCTCACGACAAGTCCGACTGTCCATCGCACGAAGCCCTTCTTCCGTGGCTTTTCAAGATCCGTTCGACCATTGACTTTAGACGTGACTTCTGTCACTTGTCCATTCTCTTTCACTGCCATAGCAACTAAGGGTGACCCTGTCGAGGTCACGCGATTTCCTGAGATTCGAGGTCGCCGTAATCTGCGGAGGGCTTCCCTTCCACACACTTAGATCGAGTCGGCTCGGTAGAGGATTATCGCTGCATCGGAGAGAAGCTCACAGCCCGGTTGAATATGACTTTTTCGATATTGGAACTCAAGACTGAATAAATCGAAGCAAATTAGCTGCTGTAGGCGAAATGCTCGCGTCGGTCTTGGCGCTAGCAACTTTCACGGGCCGCGGTCAGATACCTTAAGTAGGCTGGGTCAATTTTTCAAGATTGTTGGATTTTAAGGATGTAATGGTCAAACGCATCAGCTTTAGGTCTGATGAGAAAGTGTAGTGATTTTATTACATTAAGGGGACAAGGGGATCCGATCGCATATGACACAATAATCAAGGATTTGTTTTTTTAGAGCACCTTAGTGAGGTCATCGGTGGCTACCTGTACTGCAGATACAACAATACCCAGGGCTAACGCTGCTTTGATAAGCAGGGAATAGCGTATTTAATGTACTTACATTACACACCCCTGAGTCAGCGAATTGGATGGCCCCGGGCTGGGCACCTGGGCTGAATTGCTTTGTTACAAGCACCAATGATCTACAGATTACGCTTGTGAGGTATGATACTCCTATATAAAAGCCATGTTAATTTTGTCCTTACTAAATTATCCCTCTTCAGCCCACCTCGGATTACCCCACCAACACAAGCCTTCCGCATGTTTAGATCTTTTACCATTCCCGCTCGACTAGGAACATGGTGAACATCTGATCAACCACCGTCAACTCGGCGAGATTCACGAATTATGGAGCCCGCGGACTACCAATTCCGCGACAATGCGAATAACACCTTTCCCGATGTAATGAACGACCCGGCGTATGATGAAAGGGAAAAAGGATTTGACGACCTGGATACCTGTCGGATATGTCATGGCGAGGCAACGGAAGAGGAATCTCTGTTTTACCCGTGCAAGTGCAGCGGAAGTATTAAATTTGTCCACCAAACATGTCTGGTTGAATGGTTGTCACATTCGCAGAAGAAACACTGCGAGCTCTGCAAAACGCCATTCCGATTTACCAAACTATATGACCCAAATATGCCCCAGAGCCTTCCTGCACCTCTGTTTGCGAAGCAAGCCTTGATCCAATGCTTTCGGACTCTGGTGACATGGTTGAGATTTGTTCTGGTTGCATTTGTTTGGTTGGGATGGCTACCCTGGTCGATGCGGGCAATCTGGAGGGCACTGTTTTGGCTTGCTGATGGCCGGTGGTCTGCTAATGAAAGCATTCGAAACCAGGCCGCACAAACCGCCCAAGATGGTCTAGGGCAACTGTTCTCAAATGGAAGCGCTGCAGCAGTAGCTGACTCGATTACTTCGACCATTTCTAATGCCGCTATCTCATCTGCTACTGCTGTACCATCTGCACGGTCGTCCATTCTCAATTTCGCAGCTGGTGAGCCACTCATGCTCACCCTTATCAAAAAAGTGATTCCTACTCTCTTCATGTCCGCATTTACCTCGACTGTCGGACAAGGCAACACACAAAACAACGTCACGGCTAGCTCGACCAAACCTCGATATCCATCATGGCTTTCGGATGTCAAGTTCCTGAACTCGTTGACACCGTATCCAACAATTAACAACATGATCATGGACACGTTGGAGGGCCAGCTCATCACCCTTCTTGTAGTCGTTGCATTTATTCTACTCTTCCTGATTCGAGAATGGGTTGTGCAACAGCAACCCATGGTAAACATCGCAGAAGGAGAGCGCGAGGCTGCTCTTCAATTGGTTGCAAATGCCAATAATCGGGTAAATGATCGATTAAACGAACAAGCTGGTCTTGGACAACCTGAAGCCATTCCAGCTCAAATAGAAAATGAGGTCAACGATGAACGCGCCGAAGCCCATGAGTTGGACAATGACAACCTCCCTCATTTTGCTCCTCACTCCCCAGCTCCGTCCTCAAATGAATCTGATTACGGTCTCCCTGGGTTTGAAGCAGAGCTACGAGACTACAATGGGAACAACCCTGATTATGAAATAGGAGGCCCCCCTCCTACGGCTCGTGCTCTGGCTTTCCGGGACCTAGTGGCCCGGACTCATGGTAACCACGAAGAAATGCTGCGCATCCTCCGCGAAGAGGCTCATGGGGATGACCTGGACTGGATTGTGAATGCAATCACTGGAGCCACCATCAACCGGGATCCAGCAGCAGGGCCTTCTACTCACCCCCGCGATCCCGAAGACCCAGGACTCTTAGACGCTGCCCATCTTGATTTCCAAGATGACCATGGTGATGATCACCCACCTGATACGGACGCCGGACCTTCTACCCAGAACGTGACTTATGGGCCATCGACCAGAGACAATGACATCCCTGTCGGCAATGTGCAAGTGGATGATCGGCTTCCACAGGGCATCATTGAACGGGTGTTCGAATGGTTTTGGGGAGATATCATACCCGTAGAGCGCGGTACAGAAGAACCAGTTCCCGAAGACGAGGGACATATTGTTCAGGATCCAGCCTTGGAAGACCCATTCGTGCCCTTGCCAAATCGGATGGAACAAATCCAAGGAAACGCTGCCGCAAATGCTGCTGCCGCCGCGGCGGATGCTGGGCTGGACCCTAACGACATCGATGCAATCGAAGGTGACGATTTCGAAGGGATCATGGACCTCATTGGCATGCATGGTCCCATTTTCGGGCTTTTCCAGAACGGTGTATTCTGTGCCCTTCTGATTGCGTTCACAGTCGCCATCGGTATCTGGCTCCCGTACCTATGGGGTAAAATTGCCCTTGTGTTGTTGGCCAACCCTCTTGAACTCATCATTGGTGTCCCTATCACCGCGGTGGAAGTCGTTGCAGACATCGCTCTTGATACTCTTATTGGTGTCGTGGGATATCTCATGTACTGGTTCAGCTTTGTTTTCAAGATTGTACTGAGCCCATTCAGTGCTCTTTTGCCTATTGGGGAATGGATCCCTCGGGACAACTCAGTCACCAGTGCATCGCTCTCCCTCATTGATGCAAGCAGTCACCGCTTGAACAAAGTGATCAAAGCATTCCTAGTTTTCCATGAGTCTGATATTCCCATGTTCTCAGTGCTCTCACACCAGGCGCTTAAATTGCACCAGGCTCGCCTTGGTGCTGTGTTCCAATCTGTATTTGCCATTGTTAAGTTTATCCTACATGACTTCCCACTCCGGATTGTGACTCTCGGCGTTCCCGGTGCCCTATCTCTGGATCTTGACCTTTCCCATTTAAAGAACTTTGTTGGTCAAGCTCAACAACAACTCACCACCTTCGCTAAATCATCACTTTTCTCGATGCCTGGAACAAGGTTGATGAGCGCAAGTGCAGCAAAAGCAGCCTCTGCCACATTACCGGTCGATTATGACCTGGCGGTCTGGGATTCCAAGGATCGTGTCATTGCTATCTTCATGGGATATTTGCTTGCATTCATGATAGGGCTTCTCTATCTACGGATCACAGGGCTGCTTTCTGGCGCCAATCGGGGACAAAGAATGGAAGGTCTGCTTGCTGAGGTCCTGATACAAGCCGGAGGAGTTATGAAGGTCATTCTCATCATAGGGATTGAGATGATTGTCTTCCCTTTGTATTGTGGCAGTCTTCTTGATCTTGCTTTGCTTCCACTCTTCTCCGAAGCTACCGTGGCCTCTCGTATCGCTTTTACTGTTGCTTCCCCGCTCACTTCACTTTTCGTGCATTGGTTTGTTGGGACGTGTTACATGTTCCACTTCGCCTTATTTGTTTCCATGTGCAGAAAGATTTTGAGAAGCGGTGTGCTTTGTAAGTGCTGTGATTCTATTGCTGGAGCTTGATCCTTTCGCTAATTGTTTACTCTAGACTTCATTCGTGACCCCGATGATCCAACCTTCCATCCAATACGTGATGTTCTCGAACGCAGCATCACTACCCAGCTCCGTAAGATAGGGTTTAGTGCCCTCGTATACGGTGCGCTAGTGATCGTCTGTCTAGGAGGTGTCGTCTGGGGCTTGCACTTTGCCCTCGATGGTGTTCTCCCAATTCACTGGTCTGCCAGTGCCCCGATGCTTGAGTTCCCGGTTGATCTGCTATTCTACAACTTTGTGTTGCCTGTAGTCATCCAATCATTCAAACCTTCGGATGGATTGCATGATTTGTATAACTGGTGGTTCCACAAGTGTGCCCATTACCTGCGTCTCAGCAACTTTTTCTTCCCCGAAAGACACCTGGAGGAGGAAGGCTACCATGTCCGGAAGACCTGGTGGGGTGTTCTATCTAGAAGCAAGGGTGACTGGGAACATCCAGTAATTGGACGTGATCAGCAGGCTGCAGCCGAACGGGAAAACATTGATGTCTACTTCCTGCGCGACGGTCGATACGTGCGCGCCCCTGGCTCTGATCAGGTCCGCATCCCCAAAGGCAACCGCGTTTTCCTTGAGGTCACCGAAGACAATGAACGTGTTGATGGTAAGCCTGATCCTGCCGATGGGTTACATGGCCGATCTAGCAACATGTTCACCAAAGTTTATATCCCTCCGTCCTTCCGGACTCGGATCGCTGCCTTCATTCTTCTAATCTGGTTATTTGCCGCCACCACCGGGGTAGGCATCACCATTATTCCCTTGGTCATTGGTCGGAAAATCATCGGCTCCTACTCCTCTACCCTAGCTCCGGTGAACGACGTCTACGCCTTTTCAAGTGGTCTTTGTATGGTCGGTGCACTTGCCTACCTGGCGTACTACTCCAGTGCCGCACTTGAATCCGTGCGAGAGCATACAGGCGCATACCTTCGCTCTCCTCGCCAAGCAGCCCAGACCAGCTTGGGCCTCGTGATGCATGCTGCTCGACTTCTCTACATAGTCCATGTCGCCATTATCATTCTACCGTCACTCTTCGCGCTGCTCACTGAACTATACATTCTCATTCCAGCGCACACCCTCTTTGGTGACGGAGAATCTCATGTTGTCCATGTCGTTCAGGACTGGGCACTCGGGGTGTTGTATGTCCAGATGGCCATCAAGTTGACCTTCTGGCAGCCCCATTCCTGGGTGGCCGCTGCAGTCAACAGCGTCTTCCAAGATGGTTGGCTGAGACCCAATGCGAGCCTCGCCACTCGTGCCCTTGTTCTTCCAATCATGCTATTCACTACAATCGCAGTAACCCTGCCCTTGTCTTTTGGGTTTATTGTGCGCTGGACAATTTTCTACTCTCACACCGGAGTGCAGCCTAATATTTACCGTTATGCTTACCCTATCACACTGTTGACCGTGCTGTCTGTATGGATGGTGCATTTACTGCTGAGACGAGTGGCGGTCTGGCGTACCAATATCCGCGATGAAGTCTATCTCATTGGAGAGAGACTGCATAATTTCAGTGAGAAACGAGCACGGGATGTTGGTGTGTCGCGAGTGATGACAGGGTGATGAATCGGATGAGTGACAATTTTATGCCTTGATGGCATGTTCTCTCCGGTGACTTTGTTACTTTTTTTTAACTCTATTGTATGTACAAATTAACTCAAATGAATAGAATGCAAGTACTATGTATTAACATATGTACTTCGTGCACATCATTTGATGTAATGCCCGAGGCAGGAACTTTATATATCTGTAATTGGTACTGGTAATACCGTAATCTAAACATTCATTACCTGCTGCCTGACTCGTGACCGCTCGTGACCCCACTGTTGACATCTCTTGTGATCGCTCATTGGTTAGGCAACAGGATTCCCTCAATGCGTCGTTCTGTGGTTATCGGCCTTCATCGCCTCAAGGCACCCATTGAAACTGCTCCGTCTTTGTCGATTCCCTATTATCCGATGGATTCTTTGCTTTTCCGCGACTCTCACTATGTGCTCTTGAACGTTCTCACTGCAGTGCCTTGTCTCTAATGCTCGATACTATATTTGTCCTTATCGATCCCCTCCACAATCGCCAAGATGTCAGTCCTTCGACATGGAGGAGGAGGCGGCTTTCTCCAGCGACGCCTCACGAAATTATATACCGATACGAAGACCTCTTGCGAGAGTGTCACAACAGCTTCAAAGGCCCTGGACGACCCTGAGCTCGTCGCCCTCCACGGGAGTTTCCAGAAACAGAGGGACCGATTACTGGCATGGGGTCTAGATTGGAGCGATGCAAGCGCCGCGCAGCCCAACGACATCGACGAATCGTTGACTGCTGCAGGATTCAGCGATGTTGTTGAGAGTGTCATGTCATCGATTCAAGAACTTCTCAACGATGCCGAACAAATCCAGCATTTAGATGCGCCCATGCTTCCTTCCAAGGAACGGAAAGTCGATATACCATCAAAGGATACCCTTGCTAGCAGACCTATTAAGACGCAATGGACGGAGGATGATATAAATCGCTCCAACACAATTTTGAATGAACTCACCGGCTGCATTGATACCCTTTATGATCTCTCGCGCTCCCGGCGAACAATGGCTTCCAGCATGTCATCCAGCAGGAACAGTGCGCGCCGCCCACGACCTAACCTCAATTCACCTTATGATTCGTCTCACGGCTCGTTCTCCGAATCCAAGGAGAAGGTACAAAGCCCAAAGCAAATGTTCGACTCATTTACTTACTCGCCCACGACCACGCACCGTGACTCCCTTAGTGCTTTCCTGCCATTGAACCATCTCCTCATCGATCGCTCTGCTCTACAACTATACGGTGCGGCCCACGACAATAGCCCTCCCCCATATGAACCTGTTGCGGCATCTTCCAATTCGCGTGCCATTGGACGTCTGAAATCATCGGCGTCGCATCTTCTTGCCTCCACAAAAGAGTCCCATGTGTCTGTGCTTGTCGAGTTTATGCCTATATTGGCAGAATCAAAGATGGATAATAAGAGTGATCGGTTAGAAAAGCTCCAGAAGTCTCTTGATCAGTTACTACAGAACGCCAGAATCTCGCACTTAGGGTTGATGCGATTTTTGGGCTACTGCATTGATAACTCGAATTCTCGCTATGCATTCCTTTATCAGATGCCGGTCGACTACTTCCCATTCCTACAGAATCCGAGTGACTTGTTGAAGGAGCTAAAGCCCAAGCCATTGGTCGCTCTTCTTCCTTCAGCAGAGGAGTACCGGGAAAATCGAGTTCCGAACCTCGATACTCGATTTCGATTGGCTTATGATCTCTTAATGTCAGCTCTCCACTTAAGAAGTCAGAATGCGGTTCATGGAAATATCAACAGCAGCAACGTTATTTTTTTCCCAGGTCGAAGTGATGCGAGTGATGATGAAAGTGGTCTCGGACCTGATCTTCGCCGTCCTTACCTCACTTCTCCGGCACGCTTCTCTGGGGATGGACCAACCCCTGAGCCGTTGTCTTCGGCAATGTATCGTCACCCAGATGACAAGAGAAACGTGGACGATGATGGCGCATGGGCTTATGACCTTTATTCGCTGGGTCTCATTCTATTAGAGATAGGGTTGTGGGCACCAGTTGGGCGGCTTTGGAAGATGAAGTATGACCGCTCGTGGTTCAAGCATCGAGTGGAAGATCTTTATGTCAAGAAACTTGGCCCAAAATGCGGTGGTGCTTATCTTCAGGCCGTTCAATTGTGCCTTGATGCCCCCAACTTCCATTTATCAACCCAACCGATGACCGACCTTGGCCTCCGTGTTCCACAAATTTACCACTACCCGGTGCTTGACTTGTCAGATCCTGATGGCACATTCTCTTTTTCAATGAACTTCATGTACACAATCTGCAAGATTCTGTGGTCATGTTGCAGGATTGATATATTCTCGGCACCCTCGGCAGAAGAATTGGATGACTGCCTTCCGCTTGCCCTTGTCCCCACCCCCGAGCCAGTCACCATCCAAGAAAAAGTCAAGGCATACAAATCATCGAAGCTGGAGATGTCTAACTATGACAAAAAGCTTCCCACCATTCCTACCGATCCGTGGGGTGTCGTGAATGAAGACAAGCACTTCGAAAAGCCACAGAAGAAACGCACCGTCAAGAGACTTCCGAACTTGGAAATACCGGACGAGCACCTGCAAGAGTGGAATTTTCACATAATGCCTCGAGTGAGTCGCCTTCTTCAGAAGATTTTGAAGGAGTCTTCTGAGTCGTGTGGAGTAAACCTCATCATGACTGGCGAATCGTCTGAAAGTGCGAAAACGACGATCTGTGTTACTTGCGCTAGTGTGAAAAAAGTTCGTATGGCTCTCAAAAAGCACTTCGCCCTTGGCCGGGATGACTGGGATTTGATTGTCCTTCGTGGCGATATCGAACGGTCTAAAGTTCCTCGGAACAGGCGCCGGAGGCCGGCCAAGACTCGCCCCAATGCCACCAATGATACACCCTTTCGACAGCGAGAGCTCAATCCATGTCACCAGCAGCGACCTCTATGCGGAGCGTCTATCGGTGCCTTTCAGAATGAAGAACACCTACCACCCGTCTCGTACGGTGGTGCCGTCATCGTCGATGGCTTGCCATATGGTCTGACAGTCCATCATATGTTGGAAGCTCCCAGCGAAGACGAAGGCCAAGAAACTAGCACCGGAGACTCCAATCCAGACGCCCCTTCCAGGTCGTCGGCGGGGAATTGGCCCCGTGATACATCTGACATTCCACATCCTGGATTCAGGTACGACTATCAGGAAGATGACTCGGCCGACATTAATTTCGATTTTGAAATTTCCGACCTTGAGGACGGAGACGATGCATCGCAAGGCCTTGAGTCTGGATATGATGAATTCTGGCTTTCGGATGATGATTCGTCAGATGATGACTCCGTTGGGCCAGAAGACGATGACGGTGACACCGCGTCCATCGGCGATACCGCTGGTATCGAACCGGGCGAAGAACCCCGGCTGCTTGTCACCCAACCAGCCATTGACGACGTACATGAAGACTTTTTTCCATCCCCAGAAGATCGTGACGACGAGCATCTAGCCTCACACTCGCTAGGTTATGTCCACGCATCATCTGGGGTACGGCGTTGGACCCGAAAGGGTCTAAAACATGAGATTGACTGGGCACTCATCAAAGTCGACGAGTCCCGCATGGACCCTCGCAACATCATTCTCGATACTACCAGATCCAGTATCGCTCGTCCAGGGCGCCCTATCCCACCACAACCCATCTTTCTGAACCAGGTAGCCCGGATGGAGGAGCTAGGTGGTTTGCAAGTTCATTGCTGCGGCCGCACAAGTGGACTGCAAACAGGGCAGATCTCGAAGGCCATGACATTGGTCAAACTTCATGGACGTCATTCATTCTCAACCAGCTTTTGTGTCAATGGTAACTTCGGAGGTAAGAGGTGCACTTCAGCGGATCCATTTTTATGTTTATATGATCCTTAATTATATACCCTTTTTTTGTTTTTTTTTTTTTTTCATGCACACCCATCATTTGTTACCCTTCTTAGCTGGTAAACATACAGCATCATTGGATCCTAAGACATCGACTCGTATCGAGTAAATATGAAGCTAACCTCTCCTGATTCGACAGCTCCTGGTGACTCCGGCGCATGGGTCTTCGACCGTCCCACCGGCCGTGTGTGCGGCCATGTTCTCGCCTGGTCCGCAAAAAGCAACACCACCTACATTTCTCCTATGGAGGTCACCTTCGATGACATCGCCCGCACCCTCGGTGCCTCTCTCGTCTCCCTTCCCGGCGATCCGAACCGATCCATGGGTTACGTCGACCCTACATCCCCACAGGCTGCTCAATACCGCTACCAGGCACAGCGGCTTCCAGATGACTTTAGTCGTCTGGCCTTTGGCGCCGGAGGTCCCCCTGGTCCACCTTTGCCACCCCATCCTCATCATTATCCTCACCCTCAAGCCCACCACCCGCGTTACGGACGTCCTTTACCTCCGCCTCCGCCCCCTCCCGGCTCCCGAGAAGTCCGTGGGCCTGTGTATAGTGGCCCCGCACCCCCGATCCCGCCATCGCTTTTGGCTGGACCACGCAACGTCGAGCGACAACTTGCTTGATTTTTGGAAGATCCAGAATATGGGAATATATGTTTTGAGGTTCGTGTTATATTCATATGGGTATGTTGTTTTGTTTTACGATGTTTATGGCCGTTGAGGATACCCATGATGGAACGATTTTTGATCCTTTTTTTTTTCTTTGCATGCTATAAAAATAATAAACGTGCAATATTCAAACAGCAGTATTCTTGAAAGGTGGATTAGACTCGATTTGAGGTAGATACGACAAAGTAGGTAGAACATACTCATCTCGAAGGCTAGCGCTAATCCGGTCCATCGGCGTTGTGGTATCGATCCTACTCAGCTAGTTTCTCTTCTACCAATGATTTGTCACTCCTGAACCAGAATGTTGACGCCTTTATATTCCTTGTTCTGTGGCTCGTTGGCTCTGAAATGTACAGTCTGTGAAACAGTGTAATATATTCGATACTCACCATTTCCTCTTCATAGGAGTACGTAAGAGGATATAATGCTAATATATTTAAGATGGGTCATTGTTCTCTCTCAACCCCCTAGTTCCGAGGTACTTATAGAAAGACACTTTGTATTTCTTCATAAGTAGGTACGTCTTACCTAGATCATCCTTATCTATTTTGATATTTAGGCCACGATTGTGTTAGGGAGATGTAGTGCGGCTTTACACGCTGAGTGGCACCAACCTAGCAGCTTCATAGTACGACCTACTAATAGGTGATACCATAAAGGTCTAAATGCAACGCAAGTTTAACATCAGAACCAAACGAAACGTGGGAATTCTGCTCTAGTAATGAAATGATACCCTACATATCTATTGCGGACCATATATCTAAGCTGCCAAACCCACTACGGCTTTTCTCATTAGACCTTTACTCGATGTATCTTTTCCTGATAGCTCATCTACAACAGGAACATCAAGCCTATATTACTTTCAGCCAGCCTTATGTCGATTCACAAGTATTTCTCGCTTCTAACACTAGGACTCATCCTACTAGCAACCGATGTCCTAGGAGCATGGATAATTTATACAGCAGGGTATACGCAAGGAGCTGGGGGTCATCCATCGTCTACTAGACGTCTTGGACAGATAGCAGATGAACATGTTGAGCCCCTTCTAGGACACATTGGATAATGGTCGAGTGGAAGATACACAGCGGAGAGGAGCAGACACAATTTGATCACCGTGCGAGCACACCAACGCGTGAGAACTCTTAATGAGGCAAACTAGCAGGTGCAGGACATGATTCACCTGGTCTGTCAGCACTTGAGAATGTCACGAGACTTCACCGGCATCCGAGTGAACTGTTTATGAATTGTTAGTTCTCACCATTTTTGATGGAAGCTTTCCCGATGCTGACTTTCTGCCACAGTAACAGGGCGCCAACAGCCGGTTTTGTAGGGGGTCCATGCCAGCGGGTCGGCTTTTGGAAAGGCGTTACGCCATATCTGGAGGCGTACTTTGGTGGGAAGATAAGAAAATAGATGAAAGTTTGATAATTGAAATTCTCCTGATGGAGAGTAAGCTAGTGAAATAGATTTATATGGTGGTTATACCTGACTTCTACGCCGGTGCTTAAAGCAATCGTTGTTTAATATCGCCGTGGAAACGCCTCGACACTCACCTGTAATGTGTTGATTCGTTATGCGTTTTGGCTCAATGGTACATTTCCTACCCACTGGACGCTTGGTACTAGAAGTCGGGGAAGAGAAAGAGAAAGAAACAAAGTCGAATTGGGGTACTAGAATACAAACAACGCGAGCAAGGTGGTCAATATCTATGGACGCGTTCTTGATTTATAGACATTTTTGGTAGGAGCGATGGACACGATATGCATATTACACTGCATGCGATTGAGATACACAAACATTTTCAAGACTCGATCATTAACCATCTGCAGAGGAACAATGCAATAGAGATATCACACAAGCTTTATCCGTAGTCCTTGGAGCGATGGAAGCCGTGAACTCAATAGACAGAGACAAAACAACAGGAAGAGAATGTGATACCTTGCATGTGCCTCTTTCTATGAGCTATTCAATATATTCCGTGAAGAACAAAGAGAAGGAACAAAGGATCGTATACTGTCAATGAGATGGAAGATGACTAAATATGAACTATGCTCATGAAGCCAACTAGCCAACAATTCTATACAGCTTCTACAGACTTAATATTTTGTTAGCCATCCATGCAGTACCGTAGAAGGGAATATTAGTAGGAGTACCATTCGTCTATATTCATGCATTAACCATGCACTGGCCGTTCATACCATCTTGGGCCCAAATAGGAAAGTCCCATGAATCGGGTGGCTCGTGACTTGAAAATTGCTGCCATTTATCTTCGGACTTGAGCGGTCAGTGAGCATCAGAATTCGATGGCGTCGCTGTCCAAACGCGTCCTTTTTCATCACGCGTCTATCCCATACTTTCTAACTTTTCCCTCTTCCCATCAATCTATCTTCTCCCTCTTTCTTTCATTCATCACGAAGGACCCTGTATCTCACAGTTTCACTTTTCAATTACAGCCTTTAAACTCAGTGAGTATTCCTGGATGGATAAGTCCCTTTGAAGCCTTCCAGAGCATTATCACGTCCTGACTTCATACTCTCGCTCGCAGATTGACTGATTTGCTTCCCTTCCGGAATCCGTCGCAATGAATGATTTGGGGACTTTCCACCGAGACCCCTTGCCGGGCACACCTCCCCTTAAAGAATGGCCATGCACCATCGATAAAGCCAGCGATTTTCTCAAGACGTGGTATGATAGTGGCAAGCCTTTCTTCACAAAGAAGGAGCTGGAGAAGCTCTCGACCCAACTCAATCGCCGGTACAATACTCGCGGACGGAATAGTTCACAAAAGCAATTGATCTCTATCAAAGGTCTCACTGGATCAAAGCTTCGCTATGAAGTTCTGACCGGTCAGGTCCTCACCGGAGAGAAGGAAAACCAGGACTGGGAGATGCGAGTCAACGCTGTTCCTCAGGGCTCTTCTGGCACGTGACACTTAGCTAACACATATCAAACAGCCAAGGACCAAAGATCCGTTACTTTTGCTATGAACAACTCGCAACCTTTGTAAAGTTAGAGCAGGTTAAACTGGAGGAGGCGTTCTTTCCCTTGCAGATTGAGCATTTCGTGCTCAAGCGCGCGAGCGACACTAAGCTCCCCATCGTGGCCGATTACATTCGGAATCCTGTGCCTGTTGATGAGTATCTGCAAAGTACCCTGAAGTCCTGGAAGCAGTTCCCCCACTGGAAAAATCTGGAGGAACTCCTCAAACTTGTCTCCAACCACAAAATTACAAAGGTCATCGGAATCGCAAATGGACCGATGGAATTTGGTACCAACGAACACTACATCGGGCGCTGCGGCATGCAGAATTCCGTCATAATTACCATCAAGGAGTCGATTGAAGAGATAACTGGGCAAAAAATCAAATGTTACACCCAAGACCCCCGATACACTGCCGTCGACCAGTGGGCTCTTGCTCAACATGGCTGCGAGGTTCTGGAAGACCCCAAGGCCTTGCTTGAGATCGACGACAACTGCATTCTCTTCTCCTGCTGCCCAGCTCTCCCATTGAAGGAGATTACCGTTGAATTTGCTCGTCCAGCCATGCTTATTTGGGATCGAGTTGACTGTTACCGAGACCGGGAGTGGTAGGTCCAATTCTGATTCCGATGCATGTATTCAATTCATCTTGCTAACTGACCAGGACTTTTTCCCATAACCCAGACTCTCCCCGTGTGGGGAACATGATCCAGAAGGAATATGACTGCCATGAGTTTTGGGACATGCCTGAGGATGGGGAAGTTCCCTTTAAGTCCTGCCTTACTGCTTACATCCGCCGTAAGGTGGAGTAAGTAATTGCAGATATGAAGTGTTAGATTAGGGTGTGTCAGAGGCGGGGGACAATGATTCAGTTTCTGTTTGGACAAGCATCCCCGCGTCTGCACAAGGCAGGGATCATATGATTCCTTTCGTTGTGTTGGGATGTTTTTGTTCCGTTGTAGGATTACCAATTAATCTCCTCTCAATGTTACAGTATTACAAAATGGCTCCTTTCGATAACCACTGGTTTTATGTAGGAACGAAGCAAGACATATATGGATGGCTGCAAAATCCAACGCCATCACGAACTGTGAGAGTGGTCTGCATATGAACTTTCTAGTTCCTATAAACGCTAGTCATATTCCATATTTCTGAATCTATAGTAATCGGCTTTTGTGAATCCCGATATCCAAAACTATATTGTCACAACATCCACACAACATCCACACAACATCCACACAACATCCACGGAGTACCGTTGGAATACACAGCCAACCTTGTTCTATAAGACCCACTTGGCTCCACTTAATCTTATCCCAAGATCTTGGAGGATATTTGGTCATCATCACTAGGGGTTTCCAAATATTATCAAGTATGCGCTACCATTTTGTTTCCCTATGCTCCTAGCCAAGATATCATTCCAAGAAAAATGGTTGTTTCCGTTCGTTGTATTAGAATGAAGCGGCTTTGGGGTTGTCTATTGCCTGTGTCACGAGATCAAATTGTACCAATCTTCCATCTATCCCATAGTTCCAGATCTGAACCTGCTACAGTGCATTCTCCCAGATAGGGCCAGCCGTCAGTGATATAGTGGACTGCAGCAAGTTAGTTGTGAAAAGTGTGATCGTCGGTGTGAGAGGTGGCAAAGAACCAAGACGAAAAGGCTGTCACACCAGTGAGGACTCTCGAATCAAAGCTAGCCAACGGCAAATATAGACCCCATAGGCGCATGTGGTTGCTCGTACTCAATGTCCTATTCCTCCTCTTCCTCGTCCTCGTCAATACTCTCCCATTCATCTTCACCATCGCTCTGTTCGAAATCCGCCTCTTCGCCAAGCATACTAAGCAACTGTAGCAACCCGGCCTGTGTGCGCCATGCGTCTTCGGATGGCAAGTTTAGTCCAGGGACACCAAGGCCACCGCTACCCGCTGCTAAAGTATCATCCGTGTCGCCGGAGGCAGAAGAAGATTTGTTAGATAGGTCAGGGGCCAGGCTAAGTATGCGGATGACTTTTGTGGGAAATACGCGAGGAAGATCTCTGCCTTGTGGTGGAGGTGCACCACCTGGAATATTGGAATCACGCCAGCCGAGGGTCTGCAATTTCTGTTGTTAGCTGTTCTGTTTGCCAAATGTCAATAAGTCAAAGGAGCTCACGGTGTAAGTGGTCATAATTGCATCATCAGCCAGCGCCATGTAACTGATCGGCACAGCAAGCTGTGGCGCAGAGCTGGTGAGCAGAGAGTACGAAGCACGGGTAGGGTTTTCCACATTTTGAACCCTATTGTTGTCATCAAGGGCGACGACATAGATCCGATCTTGAATTTCGAACATCACACGGTGGTTGCGGATTGATAGCCAGCCACCAAGGTCAAAGCTTGACCCGTCTGATTCGCATTCCAATATGGAGCTGTTCGCCACAAGACTTGCTTCGTCACGGAGAGCCTTACGGAAGTCGGAGCATATAAAGACACGGCCAGCGCGAGAGAAGCCCACGAAGAGATCGCCGTGTAACATCCCTGCTCCCCATTCGTCCTCCCCATGCCGAACGTGACCTGGGTCATCTGGTGGTGGCAGTGGACCCTTGGAAATCTCAATTGGTACCAAACAATCTTTTCGGAAAGCACCAGGTGGGAGGGGTTGAGGTGTTGGACCATGCCGCGCAGCGCCTCCTAGTGCAGAAGCGGAGGCGGCTTCGGGAGGAAGGATGTGATATTTTTCTGTGGACTTTGGCGGCTTCAGCGTGCCTAAGAACGCACCAGATTCCTTGTTATAAGCAAAATATCCTTTGGCTCCCATCGAATATATCACGATGTCTGCGCTTTGGTCCAGATGGCCAATGCCACCCCCCTCAATCTTCAAGTGTATGGTCAATGTAGGAGGTCGCTGTGTCATATCATATACAAAGCCCTGGCCCTCGTTGGAAACAACACAGAGAGTCCAGTAGGACAATTGGAAGCCTCTGGTCTGGCAATCATGCGCCAAGGTAGCGATGCGCCGGAACTCTCCACGCTTCGCACCTTCATGGTCTGCCTGCCAAACCTCGAGCGAATCTCCTTCACTGTCAAACACGGCCATTCCGTCCTGATATTCCAAATGTGCGTGTGGACGAACTCCATCGCCGTCGGTGTCCAGCACCGAAGGGAGTTGCCAGAGGATACGGCCCGTGTCCATATCAGTGACGTTCAACCCGCCAGCATGGGAAGTAGAGATGAAAAACCGGCGCTTGAAGTCGGCACGGAATCGCCAAACAGGATCGTTGCCGATTTGTAGCACCGATTCTTGGCTGACTGGATGAGGCTCGGCCCAATTTCGGGCCAACAGTGTCTGGCGCTTGCACAGATCTTTCCATGACTGCGTGCCCTCGAAAAATTTGGCAAAGCTGTGGGTATCGGAGAGGAAGGAGAAATCGCGACTACCTCCACATGGTTGGGCGGTTTTCGCTTCGGATGTATAAATGATATCTTGATGAGTGACGTCGATAAATTGATGCCAAGCCTTTGAGGCGGCGGTCAGGGACGCAAGGGCGGAGACGGGGGTGAAGTGCAATATTTGTAGAATGATCTCTGGAGGCAGGACAGTGAGAGGGTCCGCCATGGTGGAGATGGTCATCTTTTGCAAAGATATTGGGTTGTTGCAGAAATCAAATTGGAGAGGTGGGGGATTAATATTTTGTTCTCCACTTCAGGGCTGTATATACGATGACGTAGTTTATAAATCCATAGGCACAAACAAATCCCCTGGGAAGTAGAAGACCCTAAATTTAAGCTTAAATTATGTCTCAATCAGTTCGTTCAGTCCTCCAAGTACCAGTTACTTGACCAAACCTCCGCAATGTTCGTCTCATTTCAAGGTCCCTCATTCGTACTTCCATATCCCGCACAAACTCTTGCCGGTCTCTATAGCGTTTCCCGAATTCCCCTGCAAGGATCGGGATAACCTCCCATCCAACAAAAAGCAAGAGTCCAGCAAATAAAGCAAACAGCTGATCTTCTTCGTTAATTGACTGGGGGGCACATGGCATGAAGAAACATGATTGTGATGCCTTGACACTGCGAGTCACATAAGCCATGAACGCATATCCACCACTCGCAAATACAACCGAACAAATCCAAAAGAACGGACCTGTAAACAAAAACAGATAGAGGAAAGGTGGAGCTAGTGGTGATATCCCAATCCACCATATTGGATCTTCTGTGACATTGATCATGATGATCGAGGCAGGTACCACAAATAGTGACGCGTATATAAAAAGAGGCAGCGATCTTCGCATCATTCTGGATGATATCACTTTTTTGAGCACTTTTTTCGGCAGTTTCAGCAGTCCAGGGAACATATTTGGTAACAATGGTATATCCATGTATCCAAGAAGCCATACAGAGAATGGCAAGATAAAATATGGAGTGGCAGCAGCAACAACCAAATTAAGTTCATATGCCCCGCTGTGCATTTCGTGCCAGTATAGCACGGGTACGTCCATTGTTTTGATAGGATCAGAGTGCATAAGTGCGAGGGAGGGCAATATCATTCCGAGAAAGAGTGTCCACAACCGATATCGCTGGGTCTTTAGGTTGTCGAATAATACCATTGTGAGGAGATACTGCATCAAGCCATGAAATGTTCCCCAAAAGGTTACAATAAATGCCGCCCCAATAGACCCTTTCATGCTACCCAATTCTGTATCGTAGGTCAAGGAGTCGCGTGGAATGCTTTGCGCCATGCGGATGCCACGAAAAAGACCCACCGCGGCCCAGTTGGTGCCGAGCAGAAATAGCCACGTATTTGGATCAAATCTCTCTTCCGAAACTCGAATGATCCGCCACCATGATGCGACGATTGAGATGAACCAAGCCGCCCAAGTTCCCGGTCCATAAAATCCGCTCACATTTCCGATACCTAAGACATCAGGTGGTTCGGATGTGACAGCTAGATAAACTGGGGGTCCGCTGTCATAGTATTGATGTGTGGGAGTCGCATTAGACGAAGAACTTGTCTTGTCCGTCGATGTTGTAGATATTGTATCATCGGAGACTGAGAGGCTAGTGATGTAGCTTTGTTCGACCTGGATGACTGCTGTTGGGTTTGAACCAGGTTCTTCTCTCGTCTTGAGTACAAGTGCGTATGTTGTGGATATGGAGAGGAAAAACAACAGTACTACCCTCGAAATCATCGGATGTGTTGGAAGCAAAAGATTTTCTTGGTGAAAGCCACCACAATCTTTGGCCCTTTCAAATTCCAAGCTGACTTAAAATCTGGTCAGGGCAGTGATTTAAGAAATAGATTTCTCGCCTCGGCCAGGACGGCTCGTATAATCGGGCTGTACAGGCATGTCAGCAGCCTCCAGCCACCGACTAGCGCTGTGGCGTCGACGAAATTTCAGCAAAATATGCCTCTCCAAAGTCATGTCGTATGATATATCATATGTGAGATTGACAAAAGTTGGGAGTTTTGCTGTACCCCGCAAGTGCAAGCAAGTACAAGCGACAACCCTGCATATATTGGGAAATGTCCCGTTGCTTGGCATAGGCGCAAAGCAGCCCAATCACGCGAGATTATTTTGATTTTCTCCCTATACCCCCCTCTCATCAGTCATGGGTAACGAGACCCTTCAACAGTTCGCCGCGCTCGATCTCGACTACTTGATTATAGGTGGAGGTACTGCGGGGCTAGCTGTTGCTGCGCGCCTCACTGAGGACCCTGAATTTCGCGTGGGGGTCATCGAAGCCGGTCCATCGGTCTTAAACATAGATGATAATGGTGCGATCAATGTTCCTGGTCGATATGGCGAAACCATCGGCTCAAAATACGATTGGAAATTCAAAACTACCCCACAGCCGGGCCTAGGTGGAAGATCACTACCATGGCCACGAGGCCGTATATTAGGCGGCACAAGTGCGCTGAATCTTATGGCTTGGAATCGGGGTCATCGCAAGGATTACGATGCTTGGGCGGAACTGGGGAATGAGAGATGGGGATGGGAAGATCTACTGTATGAGCAACCAGCTTCAAGATTCGGGGCTCTATCTCTTCATCTGCTGATCTGTGAGATACTAAATCCCCTACAGGCCCTTTTTCCGTCACAGCGAGAACTTCCACCCACCGAGCTCCGCTCATCAGAAACATTATCAGTCCTCTTATGATCCTCAGGTTAATGGAACGAAGGGCCCTATACATACAACTCACGCCAAGCAGTATGGCCCCACTCACCAATATTGGCATGAGACGCTCAATCGTCTGGGGATTCCATCTACGCGCGATAGTCTGGCCGGTGATAATACAGGTGTCTGGAACATGCTCTGCACAATTAATCCAGATAGTCAAGAGCGCAGCTACTCTGCATCTGCATACTACCACCCCATTGCGAAACGGCCAAACTTGCATATACTGACCGAAGCCACTGCCATGGAAATCCTGTTTGAATCTGAAGATGATGATTGGTACGCAACAGGGGCTCGAGTACGCTGGAACGGACTGGAAGCAAATATTAAATCATACGAAGAGGTAATTATCTGTGCTGGTAGCGTGCAATCTCCACAACTTCTGGAGCTATCCGGTATTGGCGACCAGGACGTGTTGGAAGCTGCTGGAATTGAGACGAAAGTCCACAGTCCCAATGTAGGAGAGAATCTACAGGAGCATATGAGTATGGGAAACTAACAGCGCTCTTTATGATCTTGGCTGATGTTTCTAAGTGACTGCCACCATCTTCGAAGTACCCTCCACGATTCCAACTCGTGATGACATTCTCAAAGACCCAATTCAGCGCGAAGCCGCGGACCGTGCGTATTATGCCTCTCAGAGCGGACCTTGGACTGTGATGCCCTGTTCAGTGGCATACTGTCCACTTTCGAAGATCTTAACACCCGAGGAATGTGATGAACTCCACACCCAGGCTAAGGAAGTCGCGCGAAAAACAGGACGTACACATGACGCTCTTCTAGCCAGTCAATTTGAGTCCGGCCAAGCGCGCGGTCAAATCGAGTATCTCTTCGATCTGGGTAATTGGAGTCCATATTTTGTCTCTGAGCCAGGAAAGAAATACGCCACGATGCTGCAAATGCTGCAGTACCCTTTCTCACGCGGGTCTATCCATATACCCCCTATGAGCGAGATCAATTATGAAAAGACCACCATTGATGACAAGCCCGTGATTGATCCGCGGTATTTTCTAGGACCCGGGGAGATTGATAAGAAGGTCATGGCCAAAGCCCTCAGATGGGGAGATCGGATCTGTCAAACCGAGCCTTTAGCCAAAGTCATTAGCGGTCGAGTGTTTCCTCCTCCCGCGAACGGGGCAGATTCCGAGGAGAAAGTATACGAAGACTTTGTCTCGAATTATACTGTCACCGACTGGCATCGTATGTTCTCCCTCCAAGGTTCATGCAGCAAATCACTAAAGACATATACAGCCGTTGGGACGTGCGCTATGGGTGAAGCAGACGGAATCAATGGTGGAGTTGTGAATGATATGTTACAGGTACATGGGGTTCATGCTCTGCGGGTTGTAGATGCTAGCATCATGCCTTTGCAGGTTGGGGCACATATCCAAGCCACTGTATATGCGATTGCCGAAAAGGCGGCGGAGATGATCATAGATGACTATTTTGCTCGAAATGGTCCCCTGTGAATTTAATGAGACTTCCATATGATAATATCCCATCTAAATAAATGGTCTTGCCAATATCTTGCCTGGTAGTCGCAGACATAACACAATGTCTACCCATTCATATTTTCCGAGTTGTCAATGTCACACATCTCAAGCTCAGATTTTGCAAGTATATACTTATTTTCCTACAAACCGTGCATTCCATCCTTGGCTGACTTCGCATCACGGCCTCCGATACCATCCATGTCTGTGAAACTCGACCAGCGCGCACAAGCAATTCTGGCGATGTCCTCTAGACGAGGATGACTTGGGGAATTTCTGAATTCAATAACACAAAAATAGGAATATGCGGACGTCAAATAAAAAGACCGGGGACTGAAAGCAAAACCCCCGACATCGGCTAAAGTCGACCATTGACTCCTCAAGAGGGGGTAGCATTTGACCTATTCACCCCAAACCATTTAGAGAATCCATCCGGATATTTTTCCAACGACTTACAAGATACATCTTCACTGATCTAATAAGTCCCCATCGTGTAATCGCCGTCATACTATTTATTGTTTCACGCATCTCTCATCCGACACGGAAACTGATTCCCGCATTAAACCATATATACCCACTCATCCTCAATACAATCCCACATATCCTCAATCCAACATCATGATTTCCGGAATCGCCCACGTCAATCTCACAATCCCTCGGGGTACATTAGAACAAGCCGAAGAATTCTACGGAACAACCCTCGGACTCACCTCAGCACCGGTACCGGAGCTCCAGAAGGGAACAATCTTATGGTAGTGAATCGAGTTATTTCTCAAAATTGCTTATTTCTAACTCCATAACAGGTTTGATATCGGCTCCAGTGGACAGCAAGTGCATATTACCTGCGGCGCAACTGATCCCCAAGCTACCCGGCATCCATGCTTTAAGTTACCTTCCCGCGAGGAACTAGAGGAGATTAAAGCAAGTATCTATAACCATCATGTGCGTGGTGGTCCTGCGGCCCCAATGGCTGCTGATAAACCCGGTGAAGTAAACTCTGGTGAGATTGTCTTTGGTATATCCTATATACGGCTATTTTCTGATTACCGCTGCAGGGACTCAAGGGAAAGAATATCCCACGCGATTCTTCGCTCGGGATTTTGGTGGAAACTTGCTTGAGTTTACTATGTAAATAGTTACGTTGGTTTGAAGTGAGCTTGTGTCTGAGAAAGCATGGGTGTGGGATTATCAGCTATCACCGTTTGACGGTGGCTAGAATATCAATGAGAAACGGCCAATATAGCAATATCAGATGGGATATGGATTAAAGTGTCTAGTCTTGCGATGGCTTCATACCATCACTCCATATCCTATAGTCTGCGGCATTTCGGACTTCTGGCTACAATACTTCAGAACGGTGGAATAAGATATTCAGAAAATGGACTTTGCTGTTGCTCTATATCACTCTATAAGTTGACACAATTCCTGTATATACCTAATAGCCTCTCTAAACAGTAACCTCAGCATTCCTCGTCTCAGCATCCCCCAAGTCCTCCCCACGGTCCCTCCTCTCCCTCACAAGCTTCCTTCTAAATATCAAACTCCAAAGGTAAGACTCATTAACAACCTCATGGCCACCCTCCTTCAGAATCCACACATTCCCAAGGAACGTAGTAATCAAAACAGACAGCCACATAAACGGCAACAATGCAATAAAAGCCCACATGATACCGCCCTTGGCATCTCCCTCTCCAGCGCCGCTCTTATTGGTAAACACGGTCGACATAATAGTCAACCCAAGCAATCCTCCAAACGGAACAGCAAACGAAGAAAGGCAGGAAATCTGCGCCGTCATGGCAGGGAAATACGCTAAGCCATGCATAGAAGCCGGGTTCATTCGCATCCCGATTCCGTGTCCAACTAGTGCCATCATGCCGTATATAACGCTTGTGTGGCCTGTCTTCACACTCCATGCCAGTACAGTCATTCCTACTGCGGACGTTATACTCCCTAGGAAAAGGGGTGGGAAGGTTTGTCGGGGCCAGACGTTCGAAGAGAACATCGCCATATAAAGACCAGCTATTTGAGTTTAGTAAGGTCCATAAAGTAAACAGGGAGCTATAGATACATACCACCAAAACCAGGAAGGAAAAACAGCAGTGCAAGACCGGCATCGCTAGAGCTCTTCCCTTCCACCAGCGTAAAATATATGTCCATGAAATACATAACAGCAAACATGGCTATCCCAATTGAGAAATTAATCAGGAATAGTAAGCCAATATCACGCTGTCTCAGTAATTCCCACGGCACCATCGCCTTCTGACGCGGAAGCACCCGTGCCATCAATGAGCCAGGCAACATACAACGCTCGTAGACAACCCAAGCAATCACTAGGATTCCACCGATCACCATCGGCGCTAGAACAGCAGCAGATTTCCAGGAATAGGTACCACCCGCCCATGTCAAAGCGAGGATAAGCAGACCAAACCCCCATAGAAAGAGCATCTGGCCACCATAATCGATAGTTGATATCCTCGCGAAGAACCGTGCAGACGGGGTCAAAGTACCTCTGCCCTCGAGTTGGGGAATAGACTGCGGACCCAGCAACTCAGTTCTTAGAACAAAAACCACGATGATCATGGCTATAACCCCGATGGGCAGGTTGATCGCGAAGCACCAGCGCCACGACGCTTGCGTCAGATACCCGCCGACCACGGGGCCGATGCTGAATCCGATGCCGGCGACAAGAGCGAAGATCGTCCAGTTGACTGCATATTCAGTGAGGGAGACACGGTCGGCGAGGATAGTGCGGATGGAGATGTTTACGCCTGCGGCGCCGACGCCTTGGAGGGCGCGGCCGACGAGGAGGACGCTGAATGCTGATGTTGGGGCTCCTGTGCAGATTGCGGAGCCGATTGTCATTATTAGGATTGCGGATTGGAGGACGATGTGGCGGCCGAAGAGGTCAGTTAGTTGGGCCCAGAAGAAGAGGAAGGCGGCTGATGTGAGGTTGAAGACGGAGATGATCCAGTTTAGTTGTTTGAGTTGGTCTGTGGGGTTAGTTGAGGGTTTTCCATTGAAAGATGGTGTATGTGGTACATACTGAAATCCTCTGCGATGAATGGTAAAGCTGAGGCCACGATCGTTGTGTCTAGGGCTTGTAGGCAGTATGGACTGAATAGTCCCAGGATAATCTTCCAGCGGTAGACATTCTTTCGTCGTTTCTCTGCGACTTGTTCGGGGGAGAGGTTCTTCTTGTTCTTCCCATCAGGCTGTGGTGTATTGACTGCATCGACTGTGTCGAGTTCAATTGTGTTGTCTGGTGTATTTGAAACTTCAGAACCTAGGCGTTTCCGCTCGTTGCGCTTCTTGATTTTCTTGTAGATCAGAAACATGATTTCAATAGGATATACAAATGAGCAATGATGATTTTAAACCAAAGCCGGGGCGATTCAACCATCTTTATGTCCTGTACTGCATACTCCATACCTATCTCGAAGTAAAAGAAGATGGCTAAGCCTTGAAGTGGATCTGATATTGATCCAATTTAGGTTTAGCGTACAATCTAAGCCTCTCCGAATTGAGAAACCTCTGCGAATGTTCTTCAAAATTACTTATATAGGCAATCACTGCGAATGACAGTTATCATAAATTTTGATGACAAGTTTTTCTTATTCCAAAGAGCTCAGTATTCGCATTACTGTCCATATCGGGACAGCTACGCGATATTAAGTTTTTTTTTTCATCACATATTGACTTGCGATAAATAACTCTAGCTTGATATCACAGATATAACTGGCACTCTGGAGTAACCTACCGTATATATGTAGTATCCTTCGTGATTCGCATAGAGACGCCCATTTAACAAAAATCGCCACACTCGCCAAGTCATGCGGGTAGCCTTTTTGAAATGGCGTACCACTGGCGAATAAAAGCCGATGTACAAGCCCTGTTGCCTAGCCCCACCTAGTATATAAGACAATGTCAGACGGCGTACTTTGTACAAAGTAAAAACATCAACGACCTTCAAGTTCTTTCGATCTCCAGAATACAGAATACATCATCAAATATGGGCAACTCAACACCCACAGAACCAGCTCCAGCCTACGAAGACCTATTTCACCAACCCGGTTCAAGCTCACAAAATGGCGTACGCACTTACCAGAGGGTTATAAAGTCCAGCTGGTCCGTTAGCTAATCAACCTAAATAGTATGCCATGGTCGATCAAACAGACGCCGAACACCAAGATGTGGAACAGGGTCATGGTCACCACCTTCATATTGTCCCCGAAGTGACAGCGAGTGATGAGTCTGGTCAACATACTCACTGTGCAGAATGTGATCGGCAGCGAGAACACAGGGAAAATCAGGAAAACGGTCAGAGGGCTTGTGCTATGGTTGCGAAGACTTTTATCTTTATCTCTTTGTTCTTGATGATATTGGGTATCGTTGGTGTTCAGGCTTGGAAGGATGTTCGTATGAAGAAGATGCATGGTTAGACTAGTATGTTGCGTATGTTGTATATTGCTACTATGTTTTATGAAAGATGACTTTATAAGATTATTGATATTAACTGAAAGCGAGCTATAAAAGTATTCCATGCCAAGATCTCTCTCGTTAATCTGCAATATTACTGGCATCTTTCGATCTCTTGATCTCCACCTTCTGGCCCCCGGTCCCTAACAGCCCCAACCTAGAACATCAACATTTCAACTAGTGAATACTTCGTAAATGCTTTGAATCATTCCTAGCTAAAGCCACACGTCCTCTTAAGCCCACATCCTCTCTATCTCCTATTCGGTGCATGTATGAACTAACCCAACTTACCCGACTTCCTGGCCTATACGAAGACTAACATCGTCCATCGGCAAGTACCAGACCAGGTTCAACCCCTCAAGATGTTCACCTGGCTCAAAGCCCCTTTTTGCAAATCAGAGTCCTCTGAACCCTCATCAGCCAAAGGATCCAAATATCAAGGCAAGTCGCACAGCCGATCACATAGCAAAAGAGTTCGAGAACGTGAGCGCGATCTGCGACGAGAATGGACGGGTCAGAAGGGTGGGTGGAGGAAGTTTTATACTAAGGGTGGTTATGCGGGAGTGTGCTGAGTTGATGGTCTTAGTATACATGAAGTTCTGGAATCATATCACATAGCCTTACTATTTACAGTTTACTTCGTTTTCTATCATGAAGAGAACTTGGTCATATTGAATACACATATACTGTATTGAATAAGGAGTACTGAAATTGAAGATAACGCCATAATCCTATGTAGGATCCAAAACAAACAACACCATGCGATCTGTATCAAAATATAAAAAACAAAAACAAAAAGCCATCAAGTCATAATAGATGCTTCTGTGCAAGACACATGCAGATCTAAGGAGATCCAAGGTACTTCAGCACATTCTCACGTTCCTCAACGGGCAACATAGAAAGCACCTGCTGCACACCGCGGAGACCACCCTCCTTGTTTCCAATAAGCAGCTGAGCAACCTCAGACGCAACGCCTTCAGTGCGCAAAGAATCGATCTTGCTCTGGATAACCTTCTTGTTCTCCTCGTACCAAACAGCGACCTTGTGGTCGTCGTGCTCGAGTTCCTCGTCCAGCAGACCAGTCCAGGCGTGCAGGGTACGCAGTTGCACGGTGCGAGCAGTCTCGCCGAAAGCGTCAGCGCCGGGGGCAGGAGGCGCCGAGGCAGCGACCATGCGCTTGATGATGTTCTCTTCGCTGAGACGGCGGCGGAGACGCCAGTAGAAGAAGCGGCGGGAGTTGACCCATTGCAGAGGCTGGCGGATAACGTTCTTGGCTTGCATGCGGCCGGCGCGGTCGTGCAGGTCGGCGAATTGAAGCGCAATCTGCATGTACACGGGCAGGAGCTGCTCCTCGCGGGTAGCCATCTTCGCCTTGACTTCGCTGAGCTGCTCGTTGGTGAGGGAGGTGTCGGCCAGGGAGCGGCGGAGCTCGCCGTAGGTCGCGTCTAGGCGAGCCATAGTCTCCAACTGCTTCTCGCGACGGTACTTGATGTTCACCATACCTTCGGGCTCGAGGACACCACCGCGGGACTCCTCGTCGGCGTACATCTCCATCTGGTCGGGGTTGATGGTGGGGTCAACGACGACCCAAGATCCACCGCGGAGCTCGCCGTGGGGAGGAATGTACACGAAGATGGGCTGCTCGTACTTGACGAGAGCGTCAACAATGTACGAACCGTACTTGAGGACCTCGTTGTACATGTCACGCTGGCCACCGGAGAATCCTCTCCAGTTGGCCAGGATCATGACGGGCAGCTGCTCGCCGTTGTTGAAGTCACGCAAAGCCTGGGCGGTCTTGTAGGCGGAGTTGGGGTACCAGACACCACCAGCCTCGGTGGAGATCATCTCCATGGAGTCGGGGTTGGCAGGATCAGCAGGGGTGACGTTCTCCACCGAGCGAGTCTCGACGGCGATCACACCCATGGGGATACCACCGAGGCGGGCACGGCCGACAACGACGGTGCGAGCCCAGCCACCAAGGGCCTCCTCAAAGGAGTCCTTGTCGAACAGACCAGGAAGGAAGCCGTCGACATCCGCCTTACCGCTGATGAGCCACCTGACATCATAAGCCTGCTTGGGAGGAGGGAAGTAACCAACGTCACGATCCCAAGTATCGGACCAGGCGCGAATGGGGATAGGGGCGTTCTTCTTGTCGGGGACGAAGGACATCCACTCAACAATCTTCTCAACACCGTCGAAGTCATCGTTGGCAGTCATGTGAGAAACACCGTTCTTGTACATGATTTGGGTACCACCAAGCTGAAGGTTGGATGTGTAAACCTCGCGACCGAGCAGCTTGTTGATAGCAGGGGCACCAGTGAGGATGATAGGCTGGCCCTCAACCTGGATGGCACGCTGACCGAGACGCACAAGGTAAGCACCAATACCGACAGAGCGGCAGGTAACAAGAGTAATGGTGAAGATGTCCTCGTAAGCCTTGGAGGTGGCACCGGCAATGAGACCGGAACCCTTCAGACACTCGACACCAAGACCGTCCTTGGCACCAATGACGGTGGTGATCTTGTGGCGCTCCTCGCCTTCATCGTTGATGAGCTCAGTGATGACCTCCTTCTTCTTGCTAGCATCAAAGCGCTTCTTAACCTCGGGAGTGAGGTAGAGGTACTTGAAACCGGCCTCGGGCTTCGCCGGGTCGTTCCAGGCAACCGAGAAGTGGGGGATGATCTCGTCGGCCACACCGATACGGGCGCCGGAGTTTGCAGACAAGTAGATACGGGGAATACCCAGCTTGCGGGCAAGCTCAGTGCACTTGTGGAAGAACTTGTCTTCCTGAGGACCGAAGGAACCAATCTGGAAGGTGATGTCGTTGGCGACAATGATGAAACGTCTGCCGCGGGGGTACTCGGGGGTACGGGCAGTGATGATCCAACCAACCATACCGTGAGTGTTGGTACCAGGCTCGCGGGACACCTCAACAAGGTTGTCATGGTCATCCAAGACCAGCTCGCTGTAGTCAATGCACTCTCCAACGGGAGGGCGCTTCTCGTACAAGGAAGGAATCTTCTCGGCAATCTTGGTCCAGCTGTTCTGGAAGGCCTGGCGGAAAAGCTCGGGGAAATCGTACACGTACTGAGTTCCCATCAGGTGGGCCTTGTACCGCTTGGGCTGGAGCCACTCCTTGGTAGGGTACGGGGTGGCGACAGGGCGCAGATGCATAGAACCCAGCTTGGCGGTACCACCAATGCTCTGGAAGATCCACTCGCCCTTCTCGGACTTGCGCTCGATGTACAGCTCGACGTTGATGATGAAACCGTAGGTGTTGCTGATAATCACACGCAGTGGGTAGGGCATGCCGGTAGCCGGGTCAGTGCAAAGGATGCGAATCTCTGCGCCAGTGACACGGAGACGCCACAGACGGCGACCGAAGCGGTCGAGGAAACCGGCCAGGGCTTGCTCAACATCGACGGGCTGAAGGTTGAAGACGGGAGAGAAGTTGATGAAGATGTGGTTCAAATCGGAGTTGTTGTTGCCAATGATCTCCAGGGCGTCCAGGATGTCGTTCATGAGGCGGTCGGCCTCCGAGATCAGGTACTCAGCGGTGGGGATGTCGTCGCGGAGACGGCCGGGACGAACCACGGCGCGAACGAAGTAGCGCTTGTCAATAGCCTTGTCGTTTTCAGGGCCCTTGCCAATAGCCTCGTAGACGTGAATGTTGCGGTTCTCGGTGAAGACGGGCTTGATGTTGAACTTGGAGAGACGGCCAAGCTCCAGCTGGAAGGCAAGAGCGGGCTCGCTGTGGCGGATACTCAGATCTTCTTCGTAGTTGGGACCACGGAAGGTGAAGTAACCGGGGTAGACACCTTGCTTGCCACAGATGAAGGTAACACGACGGATACGGCGG